GGTGGGAAGCAGTAGCATGGATTGATGTCACCACYAGAACTCGACCTTCGCCCCCTACCCCTCCCCTTATTTCCCAGGGTTGCTTTGGCCACCTGAGGGCTCACGGTGTTCACACCTCTTGGGCGGAGCCTGGCCACGAAGGTGTTTGACCATCACCCCGCTGAACAGGATTGGCCGGTGTAGAGGCGCTTGCCCGCAGGGCGAGCTGCTGTCCAGTGGCCCAGTGCTGAGTGCGAGCCTCAGACATATTTGCATAGGAATTTGGATGGGGGAGCCCAGTGAGGTCAGCACATTGTCCAAGGCCACATAGCAAGCCAGCAGCAGGGCCAAGGACGGCCCTTGGCCCCACACTCAGGTCTACAGGAAGAAGTCAGGGCCCTGCCTGCCCTGCCCAGAGGCCACCTGACCTCCGGCAAAGAGTCCACAGTCCTGGGTTCAAACCCCACCTCTGCCTAAGCTGGGTGACTTTGGGCACCTGATACCTCTTTTCTGAGCCTTTATTTCCTTGTCTGGGAAATGGGGACAATAGCGGCACGTACTTTACTGTGCTGTTTGGGGTGAAGGAGAAAGCACAGGCGTGCCCTGGCACAGAGCCTGGAGTAGCCACAGTTATAGTACAGGAGGAGCTGTTCCAAGTCCCTTGGCCACATGCTACCTGGTGACACAGCATAGTACCCCTGCCTCAGAGCAGGTCATTACCATCTCCCCAAAGAGTTTTGTACCAAATATGTAAATATGTGATTCAATTGCCACTCCCATGTATATCCTTGTGCTGTGCACAGCCTTCCCAACTGTATGCAGCCTACTCTGAGAGTTAGGCTGTTAACATTGCCATGACTTCCTGCCTTTGCTGAGTCTGTGCCTGCCACCAGGACATCCTCGTTTCCTTCCTACTGAGAGTCTAACCTCTGGAGACCCACAGTGAAGTCCTTCCCTGCCTCCCCTTCCTTCTGTAAGTCGCTCCGACTGGCATAGACACAGATGAAACCCAGGGCCTGGTGTCTTTGCCTTATTCTTTGGGCCTCTGAGGACCCTCTGGCAGCTTCCAGGGGTCTCCCAAGGCCCATTGCTGAGATCTGGTCAGCCCCCTCCTCCCGAGGCTGCTGTCCTGTACTCTCTCCCTCCCAAATACCCAGCAGCTTCTAATTCTGTCCTGCAAATCTGTTGTTAGCAGGAGCCAAGATACAAAGCCAGGAGGTGCCCAGCACGGCTGGGTGAGCGAGCCCCCTGGGCCTCACTGAGGTCTGCCCTTTGCTGACCGCTGATGAGAGCGAGAGCTGGGTTGACCGCTACGCAGGACTCTGACCACTGAATGCCCACAGTGACCTTGGTGGATGCTGCTTGGGACTCCATTTTACAGACAGGAAAACTGAGTCTTCAGGGGTGAAATGTTGTAAGCATTCGTTCCTCCTTCCCTTTACCCAGTTCTTAGATACCCTTGTCAAATCACCGAGCTCCTATGTCGCTCAGGGTTCCTCGTGTGGTGTGGAGAAGCCAGTTCTGGAGACTCTGGTGCACAGGAAAGGGACTCGTTAGGTGGAGCCCCCGGCTCACACAGGGCCAGAGCAGCGAGTAACCGGGTGAAGGGGTCCAGATTCCCAGGGCAGTGTTCAATTGGCAGCCTGAAGCAGGTGACCCTCCTTGGGGGAAGGTGGAGCGCCTTGATTGACAGCCCCACTAGAAGCTGAGAACGCATCACAGGCACACCAGCCCACCAGGGAGAGATGAGAAGGTCTGACAGGCAAACCCCAAGGATCCCAGCCTGCCCCCCGGAGGACTGGAGTGACACAGACCAACCCTGAGACTCCACTGAGGCCCAAAATGCTTCACAGGTTCCCCGGGAGCTCTGATGAGTCCTGCTGGGGGCTAGCCAGCCTGGGTCCCAGCCTTGACCCCTGTGCCTCAGTTTCTCCATCTGTAAAAGGCGACGTCCTCATACTGCCATAGTGATGAAGGAGTGTACAGGGCTGTGGTCATTAGGATTCATTTGAAGCTGGACTTTGGCCACAGCATCTCAGTGCCACCCACCCGGCCACAGGGAGCCAGGAGTAGAGGAAGAGGCCAAAGGCTCGCCTCTCCCTGCACCACCCCTATTCCCAGCTGCGTCCTGGGCTGCAGGAGACGGTGGACGAATTGAGCTGACTGCTCCCTCCCCGGGGTGGTTTTCTAAGCTGAGATCTTTGGGTCCAGAGTGGAATGAGTTCAAATCAAGATAATTGAATTCTGGGTTTCCTGGGCACATTTCCTGTGCCAACACTGAGGCCGTGCCTGGTGCCCAGTCTCCACAGAGCACAGCTGGCTCCCAGCCCGCCCTGAGCCCGCAAGCCAGCAGCGGTCAGCCAGCTCCGCTCCGAAACAGCCCTTAGGGGCAGCCTCCTCAAGGAAAGAGCGGCTCGGAGAGTCCCTGGCCACCTAGAGAGACACGGCCAGCTAGAGACAGCCCTCCCTCGGGTCTCACTCTCTCCTCAGTGTGTCTGGATCTGCCCAGGGGTACCTCCAGGCAAACAGACGCTGCACAGTGTCCCCCACAGGTGGAGAAATGGGCTCAGGTCCTCATGGGACTCGACCCAGAGCCGAACTTCAGATCCTGGCGCTTAACCAGCGCGTTCACCACTGCCCCAGCAAGCAAAGGCGGGAGGGCAGAGCCCCGAAGCCCCCTGAGCCCGTGTGGAGGCCTGGCCTCTTCTGCTAGCCTCTGGGGGCCACCAAAGCCAGCCACCAGTACGCAGGTCCCACGTCCTCAGGGTGGAACAGAACCTGGGTCTAACCCTGGAGAGGAGGTAGCGGTGAATGTCCTCATTCCCAGAGGAATCGTCTGGCCTGGCCACAGGAGAACTTCCCCCATCCTTGGGCCCAGAGCCAGTCTACAGAGGCCGCCAGATCTGCTCCCTCCGTGTTTACCTAACTTCCCTGACCCTGGCGAGTGCTGTCGCCTTTTTCTTCCTTTCTCAAAATCCAGGACACAATAGGAAGCGATTCCTTGAACTTATTAAAAAATCCAGACTTGTAAATTAATTTGTTCGTGTTGTACAAAGGCGGTGCAGATGGACTCATTAGCATGCACACAACAAATAATTATAGATGAATTTTTAGCTGGCCTGCCTAATGCGCTTGCTGGGTTAATTATGTCAATGTATAATTACATCAGCCCTGGGAGACATAATGGCATACCCTGCTGAGCGGGCGCTGCCTAATGACAGGGCGTGGGGGCTGCTGACAGAGGAAAGCCAACGTGGTGCGCCCTTGCACCTGCTCACCACGGCACAAATGCCCATTGTCCAGCCTCCCTCCACCTAAACAAACAGGCAGTAGGAGAAAATGAGAGGCCACCTTGTTCCAGCCAGACCTGAAGGCCTCCGTGCAGGCATGGCCTCCTGTCGTCTCCTGTAAAAATGTATTGGGTAGGACTGTGCATCAGGTTGCATCCTAGGTACTACAGACCAGTGGGGGGAGAGCAAGGACCAGTGTAGCCCTCGCCTCCCCTGTGAAGTTTGCAGCCCAGTGCATGTTAATTGGGTGGACTTGCAGATATACTTGGACAGCACTGGGCTCTACCACGGAGAGCTGCAGGCAGCTGGGGAGCACATGTGGGAAGACTGACTGGTCCAGGAGGGCTCCCTGGAAGAGGTGGCATTTGAGTCTTAATATGTCTTCAGGGGTGAAATGTTGTGAGCAGGTTGCTGGGAAGGAAATAGCCCCAAGGCTGAGGGTAAGCATGGGGTTGTCTGAGCTGACAGGGTGTCCGGCACCATGTTGATCATTTTGCCTGATCCTCATGACAACCCCAGGAGGTTGCCACTTTTATGGTGAAGCACAGAGAGGTAGAGTTGCTTGCCAAGATCACATAGCCATCCYAAGAGGCAAGTATGGATTAGACCGGGTCCAGGCACATCTGGCTCCAAAGTGTGTCCTCTCACCAGAGAACATCGGCCGAGCAGATGCTGGCAGCGGGTGCTGGGAGAGGAACCAAGAAGAGAGGGCTCCAGAGAACTAGAAAGAACTGGACTAGATCCTGGGCCCCAGGACCTGGGCTTGGAGGCCCTGGCTGTCTTGGGCCCCATGAGTGTGCCTATTGCTGAGGACATTTTGTGCCCACCCCAGGACAGAAAGTCTCTGCGGCCTCAGCAAGAGACAGTCCAGCGTCACCTCCACCCTTTAGCGAGCACCCTGGCTTCTCTGGGCCTCAGTTCCCTCCTCTGTGAAGACGGGTTGACTCCAAGCCAGCCTACAGAGGGTGCTCTGGGGACCACGGGCCCCCATGCCTGCCGCTGGGCTATGTAATCTGCAGGGTGCCACCAACCTCAGGAGTCATTCCATGGCCACTGGTACCTGCCCTGGGGGCACGGTTGGGAATGTCCTGGAGGACATGGGCTGGGCTCTGGGGTGAAAGGAAAAGGAAACTCTCCACAGGTGAAGGGGAGGTGGAGGGAAGCTAGCCAGGCAGAAGCCCGCAGCCTCCTCAGCTGGGAGCCGTCAAGAAGCTGGGAGACTCTCATCCGGGTGTGCGTGCTGTTCCCGGGACGGCCGCTAATGCATCCCCGGTGCACGTGGCCGAGACCAGTGAGGAGTCACAGCCATGGGGCCGCAAGAATGTCTCCGGGAGGGTAGAGCCAGGAGAAGCTGGAGGGCCTCAGGCCATGTGGCAGGTTCCACCCCAGGGGTCAGAGAGGTGGAGAGGCCGGCTGGACACACTCTCAACCTCCCCAGAGCCACACACAGTGACACAGTGGCATCACTGATCAAAACAATGCAGAGACAATATGACTGTTGTTGTTCCCAGCGGGCAGGACATGCTCACCGGGGAGTGGGCAGGCACACCTGCCAGGGGCCTGGAGAAGCCGGTCATGTAAAGGGCGTTCACTTGGCTCTCCCTGGCCACCCAGAGTGTGACTACAGTGGCTCCTGTGGATGGTCCCCACCCAGCTCTCTGTAGAAGGCCCTCCCAGGCCACACAGCCTCAGCCTAGGCATCCCACCTCGACCTCTTCCCTGTCTCTGCAGACCCTGTGCCTACGTTGGAGGTGGCGCGTAGCCTGGACGACAGACTGCAGCCCCCCAGTTTGGACCCCAGCAGGCAGCCCCGGCGGGACCTCCACGCTTCTTGGAAGAGGCACCCCGAGCTCCTTGGCCCCAAAGGTACTGCTAAGGCCTTCCTGGGTCCCGTAACACCATGGGCTGCAGCAGGGGCTGGTGGGCTTGGGACTGGGCTTCATCGTGTGGACGGCAGGTAGGTGGAGATGGCACTTCTGCTGAAGCAGACGGACCTGGGTCTTGGGCCTCAGTCTACTGAAGGTTGTGGGCTTGTGCCACACTGCCCCTCAGGGATCCAGATGGCAGAGATCCCGCCACCTTACACATGTGATGTTCTGTTGGTGATGTTGACCATCTGCCAACAGGCAGGGGAAGAATGTGGAGGTCACACAGGTGTCGGGGTGTGACTCTGGACAGCAGGCCCCCCTTCCACCCTCCCATTGGCCAGAACCTCTGTGGTCACACCCAGCTGCAGAGGAGGCTGGGAAGTGTAGTCAGGCTGTGTGTCCAGGAATCCGGGGGCAGGTGTGGAGGCCACTGCGCCTGGATGAGCCACAGCCTTAATTCTTCCTGAGCAGCAAGGGGCCCACGCACCCCAGGAGGCTGAGGCAGGAGGAATGCAAGACCCTGCCTCAAAACGAACAATGCAAAGGGCTGGGATGCAGCTCAGGGGCCGAGCAGCCCTAGTTCTGGTCCTGGTACTCCAGTACCAAGAGCAAAACCAAAAACTTGCTGAGTCCTCGACAGGTTCCGGGCAGCATCCTATTTTCCTTTCTGCCTCTGAGCCTCCAGCCCAGAGCTTCTGCCCACAGCACTTCCAGGCTGGCCTCTGCTGCCCGAGCAGGGAGCGCGTGGTGCCTTGACCCTGGAGGCTCGGGGCTTGTTGAGAACGAGGGAGCCAGCCATGGGGGTCAGAGCGAGACTGGAAGCCACCTTGGACCACGAGGGTCAGAGCAGAGGCTGGGAGTGGGACTCGCTCCTCCCTCAGAAAGGCAGAGGGGTGCTGGCCTCCAGTGTGCAGGCGCAGGTTGCTGGGAAGGAAATAGCCCCAAGGCTAAGCCGGGCACGCCACTGTCCCTGACCCACTATCAGGGAGCCCTGGCCTCCAGCACAAAGCACCTGAAGGTGTGAGCAGGCGTTCACCAAAGAGGAAGCAAGGGGAGCAGAGGACCTCATGTTGGCCAGGCCAGCTCCACAAGGTCACAGGGCAGCGGACCATGAACAGCTGCTCCTAGTGTGGATTGGGACAGCTGTGCTTCACTAAAGGCTGGGCCACACTGCGACCCCATATATTTTCTCCATGTGGTGTTTCCTTGGAGAGACCACTCTGTGCCCAAGGGACGCACTCAGGAGGGATACTGGCCATAGGCTTTGTAATGGTGCAAAACCAGAGTGGGGCAAGTGTCTGGTAGCCAGAGACCAGCCACACGGCAGGATGCTGGGCAGCACTGATGGGCCCTCAGGGCTGCAGGAGCGCCTTGACGCCCTTCTTGTAAAAGCCAAGACTGTGGCAGGGCTGACAGTAGAGCCTCTAGGTGCACACACCGCAGTAGAGTTGTTGAAAGTGAGGACATGAGTTAAGTACTTACCACATGACCCTGCAGTTCTACTCCAAGAGATGTATACGCTAAAAAAAAATCAAAAAGAGGTGCTTTGGCAAAAATGAGGACACACATATACATAACAACACAGTAGCCAGAAGTGGGACCGACACACGGACGGATAAACTGGCATAGTCACAGAGTGGAATGCCTTCTGTGGAAGTGGCCCTCCTTGGACAGTTTTGTGGCAGTCACACTGAAAGGAACTGTATCAGTCTGTCTTATGTTACTCTAATGAAATACCTGAGGCTGGGAACTTTATAAAGAAAAGAGGTTTATTTTGGCTCATGATTCTGAATCAAAGTCAAGGAGCTACATCTGGTGATGGCCTTCTTGGTGGTAGGCCCAAGGCGGTGCCAAGCATCATGTGGCAGAGACAGGGAGCACACACATGTGCTCTTTCCCTTTTCCCATGAAGCCACAGTGTTCAGTCATAGGGGCTGCACTCTGTGACCCTGTCTAATCCTCATCACCCTCTTAATACCTCCTACCTGAGCCCTTGGGGGTCACTTCACGCCATAGCAGGAGTGAAGTGCCTGGTGAACTCAGCGTCTAAGAAACCAAATGCAGAAGGTCAGCTGATGTGTGTTTCCATGATGGGAAATGTCCAGAGGGCGTGTCTCCACAGCCAGTGTGGCAGGGTGGAGCCAGGAGCTGGCGGCAGGATGGAGGGCCGTTTAGCTGACCAGGCCTCCCTGGGTTGAGGGTGTGCGATACTGTGGATGTGCTAAAGCTCCCGTTGGAATGGTGCGCGTGTGCATGTGTGTTTACCACAATTGAAAAAAACTAATGAGGAGGAGGAGGTGTGAGCGGGCGAGGGCCAGCCTGGGTGCCATCCAAGGCACGGCCCACCAGATCGCGGCAGGCATGGGCAGAGCCTCCCCAGAGCCCAGGTTCGGGAGCCGGGCACACGCGCTGTGGTCGGTGGGTCCAGGCTGTGGGAACCCCTGCCTCACGCTGCTCTCTTGGCAACGGCTGTGTCTCCCTTTCTCCCTGCAGAGCAGAAAGAGGGGACGTCCCCAGCCGCGCCCACGCTGACCGAGGGGAGCCGCCTGCCCGGCATCGCTGGGAAAGCCCTCCTGACAGAAGCCTTGCTGCAGAGAAATGAGGCCGAGAAACAGAAGTGAGGGCCGAGGGACAGCTGGGCTCCCTGGGCTGGCAGGGAGCAGGGAGGTGCCCACCCCAGGGAGTGCAGGTGACAGGGCGGGGGCTCAGACCCCAGGAGGCCTGGGTCTGATCTGAGCCTCGCCACAGGGGCTCGGTGGCAGCCCTGGGGAGTTTACGGCACTCGCCAGAGCCTCGGTTTTACCATCTGAAAAGTGGTGCATTAGCGTCTCCAGAGAAACAGAAATAGCTGGATTTTTCTTTAATGGAGTGTGTTTTGAGGACTCAGCTCCTGCAGTTGCGGGGCTGGCAAGTCTGAGATGAGCAGAGCAGGTGGCCGGCGGGACCCCAGCCACAGAGGTTCTGCCATCTTGAGGCAGAACCCTTTCTTTCTCAGTTCACCCTTAAGGTTCAATAGAGCCAGACTTGGTGGAGCAAGACTCTCAGCTCAGCTATTCAGGGGGATCTCCTGAGCCCAAGACTGTGAGACCAGCCTGGGCAACGGAGCAAGACTCTGTCTACAAAAAACAACAAACAAACAAACAATGGAAAAAAAAAACAAAACACAAACCACCTTCAACTGATTAGATGAGGCTCACCCACTGTGTGAAGGTCATTCTCCTTTTCGTAACTCAGCTCATCGTAGACCTCAGTCTACTGAGTGTCTGCAYGGAGAGACCTGAGTTAGTGTGCAGTTGGCAGACACCTGGGGACAGTGCCCTAGCCAGTGGCATTTGCTCCTGGTTGGCTATGGGAATGAAATTAGATGTGTCCATAGGTGCAGGGCCTAGGCACGGTGCACAGCATAGACAGTTACCTGCAGTTGGTGCCCTGGGCATTACCCAGGCCTGTGGCCCTTCTTGGATATTTTGTGGCAGTCACTGTATTCATCCCTGCGTTCATTCACTTTTTCCTCCCTTTTCATTGATCACCCATATTTATGGACCCACCCTGGGGACACTAAGGGACAAATCAGACCCAGTCCCCTGCCCTCCTGGAGTGCGCTTTCATTGAGTGAGGCGACAGATCAATGGTGGGTTCAATAACAATAAGTTAGGAAGAAAAACTAAGCCAGGGAGGGAGCTGAGGTGGCACTAGGATTTTAAATGGGAGAGGCCTCACCGAGCAGGTGAGCAAAGCCCTAGGTAAGCAAGTCCTGCAGATACGAGGGGGAGACATTACAGTAGAAACAGCCAGTGCAAAGGCCCTGAGGTAGAAGGCCGCTGGCCATGACTGAGCAGCAAGATATGTGAGACTGGAGGAGAGTGGCCAAGGGAGATATGGTTGGACTGAAGGACTCCTTCCTGTAGTCACTGAGCCAGGCAGCCTCAGGCCCCAGCTCTGTGTAACCTTCCAGTCCTCCTAGGAGAGGCTTGGACACTCTTGAACTAGATTCACTGAACACCCATACTCCTGCCATACCAGGGCCCGTGCCTGCCCTGGACAGTGAGTGACATGGAGGGCACACACGCTAGGAAGGCCCACACTGCACAGCACCCACTAGGCTGGCCCTGCCAGAAACCCCGCCTCACAGGCCAGGCCACTTGGTGCTATACAGGTTGGCCCCCTGAAATGCTGACAGGGACTTAGCAGAGCCAGCCATGATGGGGGCCACCCCACCAGCAAGACAGCAGGACAGCAAACACTGAGTGCCACGTCTCTGCATTCCCTGAAGACAGAGGTGCAGGTTACAGGGGGCAGGTGACGGACGGGGAGCCAGGGTGAGCCCAGCACGGGGCCAGCGTGAGCAGCCTGTCTCCCCACAGGGGCCTTCAAGAAGTTCAGGTCACGCTGGCAGCCAGACTGGGGGAGGCAGAGGAGAAGATCAAGGTCCTACATTCAGGTACGTGCCCCGTGCCACCCTCACTCCAGGCTCCCGGGGGCGGGGACAGCGAGCTCTGCTCACAGGGCTTCTAGAACCAAGGGAGGCGGAGCAAGGCGAGGCTCGCGCTGCTCCCCAAGGGGTCTCCCCTCCCACCCACCCCGTGTTGCTGTGGAAGGAGAATCTGAGGCAGAGTCAGGTGGGGGGCTGACAGTGCCTGCAGGGGCCAGGGGACAGCAGTGGGGAGGGCTGAGGTCTGGGCACTGGCGAAGCCAAGCCTTGTCCAAAGAGGCAACCACATGGCCACACGGGCCACACCTGCCAGGCATGGCTACCCGCCCCCCCCACCCCCGGGGCCCGGCCTTCAGTTTTCCTACCACAGTCAGAAATCAGAATCCACAGGGACCAACCCTGCAATACCCAGAACCCTGTCAGCTTCATTGTGCCTCCCTGTCCCCTGCATGCCAGTCAGAGCCTCAGGGTGGTCCTGGAGGGTGCTCGGGGCTTGTACCCCAGCCTCCGGGGCAGATGGCACCACTGCTCCCACTCCCACCAGGGTCCCTGAGCTTCCCACCCAAGGCCTCCCACCTGCCCTGTCCCACCCAGCCCCACACCCCTCGCCCCAGTCCAGAGCCCCTCTGGGGACAGGGCACACACTACCTGGCGCCAGTTCTAACCAAGAGAAAGGTCCCCGTCACTGCCTCACTCTGCCTTCCTACACCCAGGGTGGGTCCCCCTCCTGGGAGGGCTGCCCCATCCTGCTCTGGGGTCAGGCCTCAGTTGCCCTTTTACTTCTCCCAGCGTTAAAGGCCACGCAGACGGAGCTGCTAGAGCTGCGTCGGAAGTATGACGAGGAGGCCGCGTCCAAGTAAGTGAGCAGCCAGCTGGGTCAGGCCTCCCCGACCCTCCACACAGGCCTCTACCCCCACCACCTGAGATGTACCTCCTCCCTCTCTCCCCCGAGATGTGCCTCCTCCCCTGACCCTCCAGACAGGCCTCCTGACCGTACCCCCGTCCCCCGCAACACGCCTCCTCCCTCTGTCGCCGGAGACTTCCCTCCTCCCCGGCCCTCCAGACGCACCCGCTCCCTCTGAACATCCCTGATGTGCTCCCTCCCTCGTCTGACCCTCCTCTCTGATCCTCTGCCTGGGGCCCCTTTCCATCTCACACTGCTGCTCCTGCCATCCGGGTGCTGTCTGCGAGCCACACACCATGAATGACATCCTGTGCATCTAATCTGCTCTGGGCTGGAACGTTTTTAGTCACTCGTTCCATAAAGGTTTACTGAGTCGCTGCTGCTCACATTAGACAACGTGCCCCTCCCCTCAGTCAGAAAGGAGGCAGACAGCAACTGAAACAGTGATGACCTATTTGCTCCCAGACACTATTGAGCACTTACTGTATGCCCAGCATCATTATTAGCACGTGGTAAATGCTATGAAGGGAAGTACTGGCCATGGGCAGGGAGGGTATGGAGAGGGCTCAGGGAGGGCTCACTAGGGAGGAGGCCTTCAGGGTGAGGAGCTGCCCTTGAAGAGCCCCGGGAAGGTCCTCAGGCCCGTGTGGCCTTATAAGTCACCAGATGCTCCCCAGCCCCCTGGGTCACCTACACCCATGCTAGGCTACCCCCTAGTCCACCACTGAAGGATGCCCTGAGGCAGTGGAGGAGGCCTCTCCCAGACTTGGGAGCTCTAGAGAGACACGAGGCACAGGCTCAAGGCCTGGCAGGGTCTCTCCAGAGAGTGGAGCCCTGGGGAGGCTGGGAGGGTGTGGTGCTCAGGGCCTATTCCACTTCCCCGCAGCCTGGGTTCTTTTCTTCCCAGCCTGAGCTCTGTGGGGAAGGTGGCCTCCTCAGCCCCCATTGCAAGACTCAGGTTCAAGCAGAGGCTGGGCTGTCAGGATGGGGGACTTGGCAGCTGCCAGAACCCCCCCTCAGGGCCTCACCTTTGTGTCTCAGGGCAGATGAGGTCGGCCTGATCATGACGAACCTGGAGAAAGCTAACCAGGTGAGGGGTGCTGGCGGCTCCTGCTGTGGTGGGGGCGCCGGGCCTGGCAGGGAGTGGGGAACCGGGGTCACATGCCTCTGAGGGCTAGGGCCAGTGCAGGTGTGAAGATGCCCGCTCAGCCCGAGGTTGGCAGGGCAGCACTGCCACAGGCAAGCCACCATTTTCCTGAGGTGATTGAGGGGGGTGTCTTGGTGGGGGACACTGGAGCTGGGCTTTGAGTCCACGTGCCGTCTCCTTGAGGAGAGACATCAGGCAGAGGGCAGAGCAAAGGCCCAGAGTGTGGCTCTTCAGGCATAGGGCAGGGGTGCTCCCTCCTGTGGAGGACACTCGATAGGAAGGTTGATCCCAAGTCCCTGTCCCTACAGGAAACTACCAAAATATGCAGGCCCAGCCTGGCCCACCCTCCCTGCTCCCAAGGACATGATTTCCAACTGGGCCCCTCGTGGTGCTGGGACTCCATGAATCCCTACCGTCTGGCCCTGACGGGGGCAGTGTTCCCTAGGAGGGGCAGGAAGCCCAAAGACAGGGCCAGGTGACAATGGTGGTGGTGACCAAAATGGCTTCCCTGAAATGACCATTAAATGAGCCGTATTTTTATAGGCCACATACATATTCAGCTTTTTTTTATTTTTTTAAAGTTGTTGATGGACCTTTATTTTTTATTTATTTATTTATACGTGGTGCTGAGACTTGAACTCAGGGCCTCATACATGCTAGGCAAGTGCGCTACCGCGGAGCCCCAGCCCCAGCCCACATACATATTTAGTTTGATTTTTTGAATGTGTAATTCCCCAGTGAAGTTACACAAGGGGCTATCAGGAAATTCTAGTTGCCCTCCCCTGTAGCAGTTTCCAGGGTCTTCTTCCGGCGATGCCCAGTCCATGCACATGCCCGTGAATGTATCCATTTCTGACTTCTTTTTAAAGCAAAAGCGAAACCCTACGTGCACCTTACTTTCCCTGAGGTCTGCCGGGATCCTTCCACGTCTAACTTAGTCCCTCCTCTGGTTGACACCTCCGTACCCAGTTCACATTGAGTGGACGCACCGTCACCAACCTAGGGACAGAGGGCTCACATTTTCAGCTTTGCAGTTCATACTGTCTCCATCACAGGTAGTCAGCTTTGCCATTGCAGCCTGAAAGCATAGATGATGTACCTGTGGAGGAGCATGGCTACGTTCCAATAAAACTTTATTAATAAGCCCAGGCAGCAGGCTCTGCTCGGCTGACCCCAGTCTAACCAGGCCCCTACTGATAAGCATTTATGGTATTTCCAGTCTTTTCCCTCACAATCGATACTGTAGTGAATGAGCTTGTACAGAAGTGTACAGACGCATGACCCAATATGTAGGGTGGAGTTCTCCAAGTGGATTTGCTGGGCAAAGGGTGTGTGCATCTGTGATTGCAGGTGTAGCCAAACTGCTGCTCCCTCCACCAGTGCACAAGGATGCCTGCTTCCTGAGAACTTCACCAGCGCTGCGTGTCCTCAAACTTTTGCATCTTTGCCAATCAGTTTTTTATTTTATTTTATTTTATTTTATTTATTTTGTGGTATTGGGATGGACCCCAGGGTCCATGTTAGGCAAGTGCTCTACCACTGGCTATATCCCCAGCCTTTTTTTTTTTTTTTTTTTTTGAGACAGTGTCTCACTCAGTTGCCCAGGCTGGCCCTAACTCTGTGATCCTACCTCCCAAGGAGCTGGGATTCCAAATGGGCACCACAGGCCAAGACAGATAGGTTTTTTAAAAGAGCTCTTAACAGTAGTTTGAATAGGAAACAGTTTAATAATGTCTCCTCTTTTTTTTTTTTTTCCTGATTATTTAACTAAAATCTGCTCATTATAGAAAAATACGGAAAAGAAAATAAACATCACCATATTAAGTTTTAATGTCTATCTTTATTTTTTTTAATATTTATTTATTTATTAGTTATTGGCGGACACAACATCTTTGTTTGTATGTGGTGCTGAGGATCGAACCCGGGCCGCACGAGGTAGCAAGGCGAGCGCGCTACCGCTTGACCCACATCCCCAGCCCCTAATGTCTATCTTTAATATCATCCTGAGTGTGGCTGCAGGGATTCTGAAAACAGAGCAGGTACCTAGTGTCATTCACTAAATAACAGCCAAGCCAGTGAACCCTGCAGAGACCAAACCAGAAGCAGATGTCGTCCTTTGTGTACCAGGGTCTCTACCATAGGCGACGACCTCCTAACTGCCAATTTGCAAGGTTATGTAGGAGAGGGACCTTCTGCCAGTGGGAGAAGAAGAATCCATCTATCTCCCAAGTGCCATGGACACAGGGCGAGGCCCTTGGAGTGTGCGCACACATCTCTCCAGGGGCCACCTCAGTCTCCCCACTTGAAGCGCAAGCACAGTCCTCCAGGGAGGAAAACTTCCTTCAGGTCCTGCTAGCTAACCAGCCCACAGTTTGTTCCCAGGCTCTTTTCTTTCTTTTGCAGTGCTAGGGAACAAACCCAGAGCCTGGAGCATGCCAGGCACGAACTGTACCACGAAGCGCCACCCGCAGCCCAGGGTTCGCCTTGTAGCCCGGATCCTGAGTTCATTCACATCTTCTCAGAACACCCCGACTGTGCAGAAACGTAAACACACTTTCGCTACTGCCCCATGTACCCAGAACTTCTTCCCCCAAACAGAACTATCTTGAATCCTTTCTGCCACAAGACAGGGTGCCAATAAATAAATTACAAATAAATTAAACTGTGAATATGCTATACATGGGTCTCTGTGTGCATAAAGTGGGCACAGCATTCTAACTGTCAAGGYCAACCATAGTTAAACATAATCACTATGACCTGCTACATCAGCTGAAGTTATAAATGTAACCATAGGGCTGCGGTGTGGCTCAGTAGTAGAGCGCTCGCCTGGCATGCATGAGACCTGGACTCCAGCTTTAGCACCACAAAATAAAAATAAGAAAACAATAGCTCTTTTAACTTTCAAGTAATGGCTCAAGTAATACACCCTGATGAATGCCAGTGAAATGAACCAATCATGGACACACCTGCACGGCACCAAGCTACGATGCCTAATGATGAGTGCATCTTACCAAAATCACTTAATTTGTGAAGCCACCCTGTGAAATAGCTGCCTTTACAATCACCGTCTTACAGATAGAGTGACCACGCTGGGAAGAGGAAGCCTCTTGCCCAAGGTCACATAATCACAAAGTCCTGAAGTGAGAAGCTGAGCTCAGATTTCTCTCCAAGACTGTAAGACCATATTGCTAACATTTAGATGCTTCCTTCTAGACTCAGAAACTTTTGAAGAGTTGGCTCTACCCAATGTGTAGGTAGTTTAGCTAACCACTGGGTTCTGACTATAATTGCTCAGGACCCTTCTGATGTTTTCCCCATTTCATAAAAGGGGGACTGAGTCCTAGGAAGGGATAGTGACTTGTCCAGGGGCCTGCAGTGGCTTGTGAGCTGGGGACCCACCTCTGGGACTTGTCCCACATCAGGTGCTGTGAGAGCAGGGAAGGCTTGCCTTCCACGCAGCCGGGCCAGAAGCTTCGAGAGGCAGACAGAGTGACTAGAAATGGGGGCTTTCTAGTGCCCTCACCAACCCCTCCCTCCTGCCCTCATGGAGGGGAATGTTCTCTTGGGGTCCCATGCACCCCAGCACAGACTGAGCCTCCTCGAGGAAGCCACACAGATCCTGTCCTCCAACTCTTTAAAAAAACATGGGGCTGCTCTCTTTGTTCCCAGCCCTGAGCCCTGCGACAGGCCTTCCAGCTCCAGGACTGGGTCCAGGACCAAGAAAGCAGGCAACTGCCACCTGGGATGTGGCAGGGGGGTGTCAGAGGGGCAGAGTAGGGTCTGACGCACCTGCTCACCTCCTGACCACCTGTGTCCCTCCCCAGCGCGCTGAAGCCGCCCAGCGGGAAGTGGAGAGTCTCCGGGAACAGCTGGCCTCTGTCAACAGCTCTATCCGCCTGGCCTGCTGCTCCCCGCAGGGACCCAGTGGGGTAAGGATGGGGTCTGGGAAGTGTGGGGGGAAGCAGAGGGAAAGAGTGGAAATACTAGGTAGGTGACACATTGTGGGTGTGTGCTTCGTTGTGAAATCGTGAGCAGGGATGTATGTGGGTCTCTGTGTGTACAGCGGGCACCTTGTCCTAATTGCCAAGGTCAGTGCACAGTTGAACGTAATTACCACAACCCCTTCAACCAGCTGAGGGTGATAATGTAGCCACAGTTCTTGTGACCTTTCAAGCTCGAGCCTCCACATGCCCTTGTTTAAAGGAAGTCTAGTACCTTCCTTTGGCAGCCTCCTTCACCCCCCACTTGTCCAAGAATGCCAGGAGCTTTCTCAGGCCACAGAAGGTCATTCCCATGGCCAACTGCCAAAGGGGTGAGTTTGAGCTAAGTGCAGCAGTGCAGCTTTGGTGGCTGCCACCAGGTGTCACTGTTGGACGCTTGGTTTGCACCACATGGTGTAAGACTAGGATGCTCTGGCTGGCTTCCAGGCACTAGCAGAACTATAGAGAGGCCATACCTGATCCGAGGCGCAGGGCTCCTTGTCAGCCATTACTCCCAAAGCAGCTCGCGCAGGATGATTCCAGTGGGGGTTCCCGCCCCGACCACATGTGTGAAGGGCCAGTTTCAACCTGACGTCCTGTGTTGAGCCTGGCTAATCCCCTCATCTTTCTCTTTCCTACTGGTTAGTGCCCTTTGGTGTTCTGGAATCATTTCTTGCCAAAGGATTTTCTTCAGAGCCATCCTATTCTGCCTTCCTGTCATGTATTGGCAGTCTCCATCCCTCCCACTCCCCAGAAAGCCGTGGGCGCCTGATGTCAATAGCAAAGGGTTAGACTCACATTCCTTATGGATATGGGATATGGTCTGCTCCAGGGTGAATTGCAGCCTCGACCCGTTAACCTGATACACAGGCACAAGCGTCATGCCTCTCTTTCTGTTTGAATATTGGAATACGTTGGGCTGGGGTTGTGGCTCAGCGGTAGAGAGTTTGCCTAGCACGTTCAAGGCACTGCGCTTGATCCTCAGCACCTTATAAAAATAAATAAATAAAATAAAGGGGGAAAAAAAGATGCAGTCATTGCCTAAAAAAGAAAAAATTGGAATATGTCTCTACGAACATGTGTTACTATATGTGTATGCTTGTGACCTTTGGACAAGTGACCATGTCCTTAATCTGACTGCACCTTAGTTCCTTTGTCTATACAAGTGACATTTACCTTATAGAGTTGTTGAAAGAATTGTTTGTGAACTGCCTCAAAATGGTGCTTGGCTCATAGTATATGCTCAGTGAATATTTAATGCTCTTATTACTGTGATCAGTGTATCTTTGGTCCATTTGCTCATGAGACCATGTGGCCTCCTGGAGCACACACGGGTCTCTGTGTGTCATGGTGCTGTGTCCCAGTGTCTCTGTCTCCTTGCTGCTTGTGCATTTTTGTGAGTGTGCGTGTCAGCATGAGAATTCAGGGAGGCACATGTGTCTGTGTGCTGGGACTGTGTGGTGTCAGCCATGTCTGTGTCCCTGTGCCCAGGTGGCTTCACAATACACAGGGAGTGCATGGGAGAGAGGAAGAAGGTGAGGAAAGGATCAAGAGCGAGAGCTCACAAGGATGCCTCAGAGAGGAATTTGCCAATGGTTCTTAATTAGCCCCCGTGGAACCCAGCAAATGCCTGTGCTAATCAGCCACGGGGAGCTCGGCTGGTTTGGGAGGTGAGCTTTTCTGAGCACAACGGTGGCGCTCGATGCTAATTAATTTAATGTATTAATGGCATCCGCTTCCTGTTTTAATTGGCATTTATCTCCATGGAAGAAAGCTGGGTTGGTAGCAGTGTATTTGTTTGTGTGTGTGTGTGTGTCTGTGTGTGTGTCTGTGTGTGTGTGTCTGTGTGGGTTTTTCTTTTTCCTTAAATGCTTCTTAGATGTCTTTGTCGCGGAGCCAGAGACCAGCCTGACTTCATGTCCCTCAAACAGCAACCCCTCCAACTTCCTCTGGGACAAAGGGACCAATTCCTAAAATCAAGAGAAGCCACTGGTCTTGGGCTATGAGCAAATTAGGAGGAAGGAGCCACCCATAAGTGGCTACAAGGTCTCCAGTCTAACCCTGAGGTCCCTTGTCACCTGGGGCAAGATCATTGCTCTAGGGAAGAATCTGAGTTCAGAAACCCAAACCTTTATCTGAGCCCGTCCTTCCGCCACAGTACCCAGTGGCCACTGCACAGCCGCCACCTATTGTGGTCGTTCCTTTTTAATCACTGTTTTAAGGGGAGCATAGCACACACAGCATGATTCACATACCCCACAGTACTCCTGAACTGACAAGTGGAACTTTCCACCCTGTTGGGGTTCCTGGGCCAGGAGGCCAGCCCTATGGCCCCCCATCCCACACCCCTCGGCCCTCAATGCCCCCTTTTCCCCCAGGAGAAGGTGAGCTTCGCCCTGTGCTCGGGGCCTCGGCTGGAGGCTGCCCTGGCCTCCAAGGACAGGGAGATCCTGCGGCTGCTGAAGGACGCACAGCACCTCCGCAACTCTCTGCAGGAGCTGGAGGAGGCCTCCGCCAACCAGATTGCGGACCTGGAGCAGCAGCTCACAGCCAAGTCTGAGGCCATAGAGGCAGGTCTTGGTGGGAGACCGGCAGGTGCCCAGGCAGAAGGCAGCCCCTGAGCACCGGCCAGGCTCACCCTCTTCGTTTTACTTCCAGAAGCTAGAAGAAAAGCTCCAGGCACAGTCCGACTATGAAGAGATCAAAACAGAGCTGAGGTACAGTGCAGAGTGGGACAGGGCCAGGTTCTCACCTCCCTCCTTCCACCTGCCCATGCTGGGCTCCTGTCGCCTCCCCGTGGACACCAGGCATGTCAAATCTTGGCTGCCTCGATCCTTTTCCATCATGGCCACCTGCAAAGTGGCTGTCTTGTCCTGGGTGTGGTAACCAGGGGTTGACAGCTAGATAAGTGCATCCCTCCAACGTGGGGTCAGCTGCTGCAGCCACTTCCAGGGACACGCTCACCTGCTGGCAAGCCTGCTGCTTCCGATCTGTGGTTGCAACAGGTCAACAACAGACACTTGCCCCTCAGCATCCCTGGGGATGGGTTCTGGGGCCACCCACAGTGCCTTACACAACCCATATGAAATGGCACAGTGTTTGCTAGAATCAGCACACATCCTCACGTGAACTTCAGATCACCTCCAGGTTTCCCGTGATACCTAATGCACTGCTGATTCATCACTGCACTGGAGTGGATTCGGTGCGAATTTTAAGTTTTGGTTTTTAGAACTTTCTGGAATTTTATTTCAAATATTTTCTTTCTTTTCTTTTCTTTTTTTTAAGCAGTGCTGGGGATTGAGCCCAGGCCTTGCACATGCTAGGCAAGCATTCTACCATTGAGCAGTTTTACCAGCTCAAATATTTTCTGTCCCTGGTTGATTGGAGCCATAGTGCAGAGCCCCCAGACACAGAGGGCCCTGCAGGTGGGAGAGGGGGATGGGTGTGGCTCTCCATCAGGGGAGATGAGCCGGCTGGTGCCCCTTACAAGACTTTGCCTKCAGCCCGGGGACCTGGCTGACCTCAGGCCTCTGCATTTTCTCTGCAGCATCCTGAAAGCCATGAAGCTGGCCTCCAGCACCTGCAGCCTCCCCCAGGTAAATGTCCCTGCCAGGTTCCCGTCTTCAAAGGAGGCTGCCTGTGGGCCCTCCAGCCAACGTGCCCTCTCAGGCCTGCTTCCTGTCTCCTCAGGGCCTGGCCAAACCTGATGACTCACTACTCATAGCAAAGGAGGCCTTCTTCCCAGCACAGAAGTTCCTTCTAGAAAAGCCTGGTCTTCTGACCAGCCCTGGTAAGAGAGGAGGGATGCTCCCCGCCCTCCTGCTCCTGCCCTCCTGCTCCCTGTCCTCCTGCTCCCCATCCTCCTGCTCCCCATCCTCCTGCTCTCCATCTTCCTGCTCCCCATCCTCCTGCTCCTGTCCTCCTGCTCCCGTCCTCCTGCTCCCCATCCTCCTGCTCCTGGAGCTGCTGCGTTCTTCTCCTGGCTCTGCCTCCTGCCCCGCCCCGCATGTAGCTCCCTTCTGTCTGGCTCCTGTTCTCTCTGTCCGCTCCCCTCTCTGCCTGGCTACTTTGCTCCCTCTCTCCCTCCCCGTCACCATCTCTGTCCCTCTATCTGTTGCTCTTGGTATTCTAGAGGAGGACCCTTCAGAGGACGACTCCATCAAGGACTCTCTGGGCACAGAGCCATCCTACCCCTCCCCTCAGCAGCTGCCACCTCCACCAGGACCTGAAGACCCGATGTCCCCCAGCCCTGGGCAGGCCCTGCTGGGCCCCAGCCTGGGACCTGATGGCCCACGGACTTTCTCGCTGTCCCCATTCCCCAGCCTGGCCTCAGGGGAGAGACTGGCTGGGGACACATTGCTCTCCAAGCACATGATGCCCCCGGCCGCCTTCAAGGGAGAGGCAGGTGGCTTGCTGGTGTTCCCTCCAAGCTTCTATAACACCAAGCCCCCCACGGCCCCGGCCACCCCAGCCCCTGCCCCTGAGCCCCTGGGGAGCCTCGAGCCTGCTGATGGTGGCGGGGGCAGTGTGGCAGGCACCGGGGCAGAGGAGGAACAGCTGGACACAGCGGAGATAGCCTTCCAGGTGAAGGAGCAGCTGCTCAAGCACAACATCGGGCAGCGAGTGTTCGGCCACTATGTGCTAGGGCTGTCCCAGGGCTCCGTCAGCGAGATCCTGGCCCGGCCCAAGCCCTGGCGCAAGCTCACAGTGAAGGGCAAGGAGCCCTTCCTCAAGATGAAGCAGTTTCTGTCAGATGAACAGAATGTGTTGGCCCTGAGGACAATCCAGGTGCGGCAGCGAGGTGAGCACTGCCCGCACATCTAGGCCAGGCCCAGGCACAGGGCTGGTCCAAAAGCCTCCCTGCTTGCTATGTGACCCAAGGCAGGTGATTTCACCTCTCTGTGCCTCAGTTTAGCCCTCTGTTAAAACAGAAAACACCCTCACGCCCTCCGTCCTGGGGTCTGTCCTGGTGGGGACCCTTCCAACCCTCAGTTTACCCATCTGTGAGATGTCCTGGGTAGACGCTACCCTTGCCAGAGTGGATTTTTAGATTCCTTGATGTGCAGAACCTGGCTCCACCTCACCACTGGCTGGCCACTCAGCTCCCCCAACTGCCCTGGGCCTCGGTTCCCCAGCCGTCAGCCTCCTGGAAAGTCCTGCGGATTTCAGGGGCATAAAACACTGACCACTGAACCTGGCACCTGGTGACTGCTCCCAGCGCCAGCTGCGGCGGTTGTCGTCACCATTGTCACCATGTGTGCTTTATTCATCATGTTTCAAGCCAGAGCATCTGAACATCCACATTTCACCACACAGACCATGTGGCAGCCCTGCGCCCGCAGGGCAGCCCAGCCCCTGCTCCTGGGCCCCGGACTCCCATGCAAACCCTACCACAGATGCCTTTCGCCTCCCCCAGGTAGCATCACCCCACGAATCCGCACGCCTGAGACGGGCTCGGACGACGCCATCAAGAGCATCCTGGAGCAGGCCAAGAAGGAGATCGAGTCCCAGAAAGGGGGTGAGTAGGCTCGGCCAGCCTTGGGGAGGCCTCCAGGGCTGCCTTGAGCAGYGGGCTGTTCCCCAGGGGGTTCCAAGGGGTCTGAACCTCCCAGACCAGAGGGATCTTTTTAGAGCACGTATGTGGTCATGTCAGTGCTCAGGTCTCTCCACAGCTCCCTGCTGCCCTGGATATCAAATCCCGGCCCCTCAGCAAGACTCCAGGCCCTACATCTTCAGACTCCCCCTGGGCCCCCCACACCTCTCACAGTCATGGTCTCACCCAGCTTCCTCTCACAGTCTCTCATTTTAATTATTACATCTCTCGTTGCAATTCTGTGCTTCTGGTATGGCTGTCCCTTCCACTGGTCTGGGGGCTTTGTGCAACCAGGGACCAGTTTACACCCCCACCCCCACCCCCACCCCCACCCCCATTTGATCCTGGAGCTCAGTGCAGGGTGGACCGCAGCTACTTGAACCAGGATTGCTCTGCTCTTCATTTTGCAGGGTCAGCTGCCCCCTGGTGGCTCCTCAGAGCAGGCATCCCAATTTCCAAGCCGCCTATGGCTGAGAGCAAAGGAGTTTCCCCAGGTCCTGCCCCCTCCCCCTTCCTGGAGAAGCAAAGGGAGAAGGGCTTGAGCTGGGGGAACCTGTGCTGCCCCCACCCTAGGATCCCCTGAGCCCCTACATTATGCATTTTCTTCTCTGTACACTGCGGTTTCTTCTGTGTCAGCTTCGGTATCAAGAGATGCAAGACAGGGAAGCAAGCAGTAAACGCATCCAGCGTTAGACCTAGATTAGGACCTGGGTGAGACTTGTCAGCCGAGTGAGGAGAACTGCCGAGAAGCAAGCCCATGTCTGGCTGGGGTGAAGCTCAGCAACGAGCACCTGCCTGTGTGCATGAGGCTCTGGGGAAATGTAAAAGGCAGCCTCACAGCAGAGGAAAAGTCTGCCCTAGTGGGCCAGCGGGGGGGGGGTTCACATTCAGGGTCTACACAGGACTCAGAAGAAAATTCCCAAGGTCGCCACCAAGCCCCTGACAAGCAGGTGCAAAGCAGAAAGTACACCAGCCTCTGCCCCGAGGAAAGGACCGCGGCTGCCTGTCAGCCCAGGGTTTGTACTTCAGGGAACCAAAGGAAAATCCATAGAGCAATGGCTTATACATAACGTACAAGCCATTGTTCTATCCTTCTTTACTAGAGTGGCAAACTGGAAACAACCTAAGTGCCCAGCAGTGGGAGATCCTGTGGTAATGCAGATAATATCCCATCAGTGGCACATACAGCCATTAAAGACAGAAAAATTTTTTTCCCTGTGGTTCTGGGCATTGAACCCAGGGGCTCTCTACCCCTGAACTATACTCCCAGACCTTTTAATTTTTAATTCTGAGCTAGGGTCTCACTAAGTTGCCTAGGCTGGTCTTGAGCTTGGGATCTTTAGCCTCCAGAATCACTGGAAGAATTTTTTTTTTTTTGTCAACGGATATTTATTTTACTTTTTTATATGCAGTGCTGAGAATTGAACCCAGTCCCTCACACATGCTAAGCAAGCGCTCTACCACTGAGCTGTAACCCCAGCCCTGGGAAAAACTGTTAATGATAAGAAAAATCATTCATTTTGATACTGAGTAGAGACAAGCCAGGCTCTATCCCACCTAGCAAGGATGATCCTCCAGTGCCCTTAGCATGGAAATCAGACTCGGAAGAAATAAAGAGCATGTCTCATGTAGCAGCCTCTGGACAGAAAGAATGGGAATTTTTCTCCCTACGTTCTATGCTTTTTGTGACCTTTTTTAAAATTGAGGTAAAAATTACATACTATAAAAACAATTTAAAGTGCGTGATTCAGTAACATTTAGTACATTTGTCGGGCTATGCAGTGATCATCTCCACCTAATTACAGACACTCATCACCCCAAAGGACACCTCACGCCCATTAGACAGTGGATGCTATCCCACCCCCAGGGCCCTCTGCAGCCCTGCTCTGCAATCTGCGCGAGTGGATTTGCCCATCAGGGACACACCGTGTAGGTTAACTCATCCAACAGGTGGCCCTCTGTGTCCAGCGTCTCTCATGTCACATCATGCTTTCAAGGTTTCTCCAGGGTGGAGCAGGGCTCCGTGCTGTGCTCCTTTCTATGACTAAATAATAAGACTGATACTTTATTGCTGGATTACTTTTTAAATTGGAAAAGCAATAAAAATTATTTGAATGGGTCTGTGGGGATCCCTCAGGATGGAGCCTGCACAGAGAGAGGATAGAGAAAGGTCGCACTGCCCCAGCCCAGGCAGGGGTGGGGGGCCCAGCACGGGAGAGGCTGCCCGAGAGCAGAGGATGCACCTATCTGTCTGCTGGTTAACTGTCACCCTCAGGGTTAAGTCACAGATCAGTCTATCCCTGGTATATGACAAACTCTCATGGAAGCTCCCAGAGAGGCCTTCCCCTGAATGTATATTTGTATATGCACCCACTTACTCACTCACCCACCCACCCACTCACTTACCCGCTCACTAACTCACCCACTCACTCATTCAGTCACTTATTCACCCACTCACTCACCCACCTACTCACCCACTCACTCACCCACCCACCTACCCACTCATTCACTCACTCACCCACTAACTCACCCACTCATTCAGTCACTCATTCACTCACTCACCCACTCACTCACCCACTCACTCACCCACTCATCCACTCACTAACTCACCCACTCACCAACTCACTCACCCACTCACTAACTCACTCACCCACCTACTTACCCACTCACTCACCCACCCACCCACCCACTCATTCACTCACTCACCCACTCACTCACCCACTTATTCACCAACCCACCCACTCACCAACTCACCCACTCACTCATTCAGTCACTCATTCACCCACTCATCCACTCACCCACTCACTCACCCACTCACTCACCCACTCAGTAACTCACCACTCACTCACCCACCTACTCACCCACTCACCCACCAACCCACTCACTTACTCACCCACTCACTAACTCACCCACGAACTTACCCACTCACTAACTCACCCACTCACTAACTCACCCATTAACTCACCCACTCACTCACCCACTCATTCACCCACTCACCCACTCACTCACCTACTCACCCACTCACTCATTCACCCACTCACCCTCTAACTCACCCACTCACTCATTCAGTCACTCATTCACTCACTCACCCACTCACTAACTCACCCATTAACTCACCCACTCACTCACCCACCCACGCACTCACTCACCTACTCACTCACTCACCCACTCACTCACCCACTTACTCATTCACTCACCTACTCATTCACTCATTCACCCACTCACTCACCCACTCACTCAGTAACTCACCCTCTCACCCACTCACCCACCCATTCACTTACTCACCCACTCACTCACCTACCCACTCACCCATTCACCCACTCACTCACCCACCCACTCACTCACTCACTCACCTACTCACCCACTCACTAACTCACCTACTCACTCACTCACCTACTCACTCACTCACCTACTCACCCACTCACTAACTCACCTACTCACTCACTCATTCACCTACCCACTTACCCACTCACTCACTCACCTACTCACTCACCCACTCACTAACTCACCCACTCACTAACTCACCCACTCACTAACTCACCCTCTCACTCACTCACCCACTCACTTACCTACTCACTAACTAACCCACTCATTCACCCACTCACTCACCCACTCACCCACTCACTCATTCACCCACTCATTAACTCACCCACTCACTCACCCACTTATTAACTCACCCACTCACTCACCCACTAATTCACCCACTCACTCATTCACTCACTCACTAACTCACCCACTCACTCACTCACCCACTCACTAACTCACCCACCCACTCACTCATTAACTCACCCATTCACTCATTCACTCACCCACTCACTCATTCACTCACTAACTCACCCACTCACCCACCCATTCACCTACTCACTCACTCACTCATTCGCTCACTCATTTATTCACTCATGCATTCTCTCGCTCACTCATATCATAGAACCATCCTCTGGGAGCCTGTGAATCTACCCAAGGTATAGAAAATCCCCAGTGTCTCCCATCTTCTGGCATTTTACACCCTGCTGCCTGCACTCTGAGATCCTTTATCCTAAATTTTTTTTGTCGCTCCTTTAAGTTTGTCATTTGTTAAAAAGATTGTTCACTGAATTGCATACTGTTTATTTTGCTTGCTTGGGAGCTTTATAGAAGGCATGTTATAGCACACATCTGCAACCCAGCAACTCGGGAGGCTGAGGCCGGAGAATATCCCCAGTTCAATGCCAGCCTAGGCAACATAGTAAGACCCCTTCTCAAAATTAAAAAATAAAAGGGGCTAGGGATGTAGCTCAGTGACTCAGTAGTGGAGTACCCCTGGGTTCAGTCCCCAGGACTGCATAAGTCAATAAACACACATAGAAGGCACATTATACTGTGTCATCTTCATCTTCTGGGACTTGCTATTTTTGCCCAAAACTATGTTATTAAGAGTCACGCATGGCTGGGCTTGGTGGCGCACACCTACAATCCCAGCAGCTCAGGAGGCTGAGGTAAGGGGATTGCCATTTCAAAGCCAGCTTCAGCAGGAGCGAGGTGCTAAGCAACTCAGTGAGACTCTGTCTCTAAATAAAATACAAAAAAAGGGCTGGAGATGTGGCTCAGTGGTCAAATGTCCCTGAGTTCAATCCCTGGTACCAAAACACAAAGATTCATGTATGGGCCAGGTGTGGTGGCACAGGTCTCAGGCACAGGAGGCTGAGGAAGGAGGACTGCAGGTTCTAGGCAAGTTAGCAAAACTGTCTCAAAGTAAAATAAGGGCTGAGTGTGTAGCTCAGGGGAAGAGCACTTACCTAGCATGTGCCAGGCCCTGGGTATAGTTCCCAGCACCACCAAAAAATAAAAGATCCACATGTGGCTTTGCAGGGTGGTTTCCTTTGTCACGGCTGTAGAGTAGTTCACTGTCGGACTGTGCCATTATTATCCATTCTCCAATCCATGGGCATTTGGATTTGTGCCGCTGTTTTGCAATAGAATAATCAAAGAAGCATCTTATGTGCTACAGTGTCTTCCTTGTCTTTGAACGTTTGCTTAGGTGGATCATAGCGTGTGAAAGACAGGTCTTTCTTGTGTTATATTATCCTTGTGAATACTTCTCCCACATAGGCTAAAAATCAGTCACCAGGACTTTTTGTTTTGTTGTGTTGGAGATGGAACCTACCACTGAGCCATTTCCCAGCTGTCAACCTGACTTCTTAAAAAATTTTTTTAGTTGTCAATGGACCTTTATTTTATTCATTTTTAGGTAGTGCTGAGGATTGAACTCAGTGCCTCACACATGCTAGGCAAGCGCTCCACCCTGAGCTACAGCCCCAGCCCCAGCCCCTCAACCTGATTTTTAATGGCAGCCTGATGTCCTGCCATACAGAGGGACCTAACTTACTTAACCAATCCCCATATGCTGAACACAGAGGTTGACTCCGCTTTTTTGTGGTATAAATACTGATGCTTTGAACATCCTTGCCTTCAAGCTGAGCCCTGATGAGAGGCCCCTGGCTGCCCTGTTGTCCTCCCCACAGGTGAACCCAAGAACTCAGCGGCCCCATTGAGCATCACCAATGGCACAGCCTCCACCAGCACCTCGGAAGACGCCATCAAGAACATTCTGGAACAGGCTCGCCGTGAGATGCAGGCCCAGCAGCAGGCCCTGCTGGAAATGGAGGCAGGACCCCGGGGCCGCTCAGTGCCCCCTTCTCCCCCAGAGCGGCCCTCGCTGGCAGCCATGAGCCAGAATGGGGGCCCAGCCTACGTCAAGCAGGAGGACAGCACTGGAGGTGGCAGCGGGGGGACCAGCAGCAGTGCCACACAGACGTCCCTCACGGTCCTGTCCCCCGCAGCCTTTGTGCAGAGCATCATCCGGAAAGTCAAATCAGAGATTGGCGATGCCGGCTACTTCGATCACCACTGGGCCTCGGACCGCGGCCTGCTCAGCCGCCCCTATGCCTCTGTCTCGCCCTCCCTGTCCTCCTCCTCCTCCAGCTACTCTGGCCAACCCAACGGGCGGGCCTGGCCCCGCGGAGACGAGGCGCCCGCTGCCCCTGAGGACGAGGCAGCTGGGGGCGAGGATGAGTCCCCCAGGGTGGGCGAACTGAAGGCAGAAGGGGGAGCCCCCGAGGTGGGCAGCGGCGGGCGGCTGGCCTACTACCCAGCCTATGTGCCCCGCACCCTGAAGCCCACCGTGCCACCCCTGACCCCCGAGCAGTACGAGCTCTACATGTACCGCGAGGTGGACACTCTGGAGCTGACGCGCCAGGTCAAGGAGAAGCTGGCCAAGAATGGGATCTGCCAGAGGATCTTTGGGGAGAAGGTGAAGGCCGCAGGGGTCGGGGAGGTCGTGGGCCCCGGGGAGGCCGTGGGCCCTGGGAAGGGAGAGCCACTCAGGCCTCAGCCCCCAGGACGCACCCTGCAAGGATTCCAATGGAGCAGACTCTCCCACCTCCACAACATTGCTCTCTCTCCAGGGTCCAGCTGTCCCTGGGCTCGTGGGAGGGAGCCACAGCGCTGCTGTGGGCAGTGAAACACTTCCTTCCCAGGCTTCGAGAATCCACTTACCCCCTCCCCCAGGCCTCTGCACCTCCCCGTAGCCCAGCCAGTGAAGGGGTCTCAGTGTCCTGGTCGATGTGTCCCTGCAGTACCAGCAGGCTCAGAGGAGGGTGACGGGACCTAAGTGGGAGACGCCAGGAGGCTTCCCAGCGGAGGGGGCACTCGAGGCCAGGTTGAAGTTTTCTCAGGAAAGAGGGGTCGCAGCACAGGTGCCCAGCAGGCCCCTGGAGATGAAGAACAAATGAGAGTAGCCTGACACCCATGGCCTCAGGGGGACAGCATGGAACGGCAGTGTCCAGGGGCCTGCTGACCTGCCCTGCCTGCCTTGCCCACCGCAGGTGCTGGGCCTATCGCAGGGCAGTGTGAGTGACATGTTGTCCCGGCCAAAGCCCTGGAGCAAGCTGACCCAGAAGGGGCGGGAGCCCTTCATCCGCATGCAGCTGTGGCTCTCGGACCAGCTCGGCCAGGCCGTGGGCCAGCAGCCCAGCGCCTCCCAAGGTGAGTGTAGGCAGGACCCTCTCGAGGGGTGCTGGTGGCCCCCCAGCTACAGGGCCTCCGTACTTCCCTCTGCATCCCACCACGACTGCGCCCCTGGATATCGTGCATGCTTCTGGCTGTCTCCCGGTCCCCCTCAGCTTTCCCCCACCAGGGTGATGCTTCTTGGCCCACATCTGAGGCACAGAGCCCCTCGTTTACACCTCTGGGGGTGCTGGGTGCTGGAACAAGTAGAGGAAATATTTTGCTCGCCTAGCCCCACCCACCTACTGGTCCAGAATCAGCTCTTTTCCTGGAAGATCCAGCACACAGCCCCAGGGGTCTTGGCACAAGGTTTTGGCCCCTCACATCCACTCCCTCTTGAGAGTGTGCAAGGAAGAGTCTGAGCCTGGCAGGTAAGGAAGCCAGGCTGAGAGTGTCCCCAAGTCAGCCCAGGAGTGGGGAGAAGCTCCCTCCTGCTAACAGCAGGAGGGCTGGTCTGCTGGGGCCCCATGAGGGGCCCACCCAGACCTGCGCTGGGATAAGGGCACGTGGCTATAGGATGGACAGCTGCCCTGCCCACTGAGACCAGGACAAGGTAGAGACAATCCCAGGGCCTGGCTCAGCCTCAATCTCCCCACCTATAAGTGGGGATCAGTCAATAGGACAAAACCATAGCTTAAGTTCATATCAATAGGGATACAGACCAGAAACAGAATATCAAGTGGCAAAAGCCCAAGTTCCAGGTAACTGTTTTATCAAGGGGTGCTAGTGGCCCCCCAGCTACAGGGCCTCCGTATTTCCCTCTGCATCCTACCATGACTGTGCCCTGCAGCCACAGCCCCTGAGCACACACACACACAGCCCCCACACTGGGCAGGGCAGGGGCCAGGAGCAGGCGGGGAGCAAAGCTTGAGCAGAACTACTGCTTTTTTAAACAAGAAGGGAGGGCAGGGGTGTGACTCAGTGGTAGAGAGCTTCCTTAGCATGCACAAGGTCCCAGGTTCCGCCTCGGCACCACACACACACACAAAACTAGCGCTTCGCATGTCCACGTGTGCTGTGGACATCTTTTCATTATGTATTACTGTGTGCATGTGCGGTGCTAGAGGGAACCCAGGCCTTAGGCCTACTGAGCAGGTGCTCCCCTGAGCCACGGCCCCAGCCCTGTGTTATCTACAAATGCTGCAGGGCTTCCCCAGTTTTATTTGGCTACACTCTGGTGGCTGATCTTGTAGATCACTGCCCACTTCCTTTTGTTGTGGTTTAATCCTTGGTTTGACATAGTTTCTAATTTACAGAAGAACCAGGCAGAACCGCCCGCTCCCTGTGTGCTCCACCACTGTCAGCCCCTAATCATACGCTGCATTTGTACTTTCTCTTCATTTGAGGAATCCATTGGCAACATTGAATCTCTTCACTGATACTTGAGCAAGTGTCATTGTCCACAAGTTGCACCGAGAGTTGGTTCCAGGGATGCCAACATGCAGAGATGCCCAAGTCCCACATATAAAATGCTGAAGTGTTTGTATGCACCCATGCACAGCCTCTTCTGTGCTTTAGATCATCCCTGGGTGACTCGCAGTACCTGGAACAATGCAAACGCTGGGCAAATAGTTATGGAATTGTATTTTCTTTTAAGTTTTTTTAGTAAATTAGTGAAAGCCACTTTATTTATTTATTTGTGTGTGTGTGTCTGTGTGTGGTGCTGGGATTGAACCCAGGGCCTTATGCATGCAAGGTAAGCACTCTACCAACTGAGCTGTATCTCCAGCCCCTAGACACAATTTTTAAAAAAATAATTTTGAACAGTGGTTGGTTAATCCACAGATGCCAAACCTGAGGATATTAGAAGCCAACTGAATTTCCCAGAAATACAGAAATGAAACTTTCCACTGGGTATCAATGGCACATAATCCCCAGTGTCTGGGGAGACTGAGGCAAGAGGATCACAAGTGACAGGCCAGTCTTGTCAACTTAGCAAGATCCTGCCTCAGAATTTTAAAAGGTCTGTGGATATAGCTCAGTAGTAAAGCACCCCCAGGGTTCAATCCATGGTACTGAGAGGGAAAAAAATGAAACTTTATCATGATTCATGGTACCTCACCTACCACCTACAATCAAGTTTTATCACTTGTTCTAATAATATCATTTATATATGTGTGTGTCATATATAAATTATCAATTTATAACATTTATTAAAGTATAAATTATCAATTACACACACACACACACATCATTTCCCCTTGCCAGCATCAGGTTCAGTCACTAGTATTTAGTTGCCGTGTTCCACTCTGGACAGATCTGCCTCTTCCTTTGGCAGTGTGACTTTGCTAAAAGCTGGAGGCCAGGCACCTTGCGACCACCTGGGTCGAGTGTCTCCTGGAGATAGGTTGAGGCCCTGCCCGTGGTGGAGCCTCCCAGCAGTGATGCTGTGTCCCTCGCAGTGTGCCAGGTGGGGGCACCGTGGCTGCTGCTTCTGGTGACTTGGTTTGGGGGTCTTCCCAGAACTGCTACTGGGAGGCGGCTCTTCTCTCTTTGTACTTAATAAGCACTGTGGGGAGACGCTGGGAGACCTGGTGAGCCTCCTATAGAGGGCCCCTCAGGGACACGACTGGGCCGTACAAGAACGGATTGTTGCCAAGCCCCAGCCTGCCCAGAATGTGTGTGTCCATGCTAGATGGCAGTGACCACCTCTCTGTCTCTTTGTGGCCCACAGCCAGTCCTCCCGAGCTGCGGTCCTCACCTTCACCACCCCCAAGCCCCATGGAGCCTGAGAAGAGTTCCCAAGAGTCCTTGAGCCTGTCACTGGAGAGCAGCAAGGAGAACCAGCAGCCAGACAGCCGCTCTGGCTCCTCGCTGGGTGGGAAGATACACTCTGGCAGCCAGGCCACAGGAGGCATCCAGGAGATTGTGGCTATGTCCCCAGAGCTGGACACTTACTCCATCACCAAAAGAGTCAAGGAGGTCCTCACAGACAACAACCTAGGTATGGGCAGCCGGAACCAGGGTTGCTGCCTCCTGTCCTGGGTGGCCTCAAGGAAGAGTGCCCATGGTGAGAACCTAGTGCCTTGGGCCAGGTGGAGATACCAGTCAGCCAGGCATGCAGGACCCCACTCAAGGCATCTTGACTGGCCTATGTCCCTGTAGCAGGTGAAGGAAGGTCTGAATCCCCTAGAATCCTCAGCCCACACTCCAAAAAACTTCCCTCTGGGGGTTCAAGGAACCAAGTTGCAGTGAAGCTCTAACACTGTCCTCATCCAGGGCCCAAACTTGCACCCCGGGGGCATAAGACAGGGAAATCTGTTCTGGGCATCTTYCCTTTCCTGGCTTACATGCTCCACTGAGCCTTAGATGCAAGTTATACGCCTCCCTGAGGAATGTCTGAGCCCCGAGTTTCTCACTACACTTCCTATTGTGAAAATAAGACTTACTCATTGCTTTAAAATGAGTTTAAAAAACAATGAGTTTAAAAAAATAAGTTAAAAATAATAAACATCTGGCATAGTGGCACACACATAAAATCCCAGCCACTCGGGAGGCTGAGTCGGGAGGATCTCAAGTTCAAAGCCAGCCTCAGCACCTTTACGAGACCCTAAACAACTTAGTGAGACTTTGTGTCTAAACAAAATATAAAAAGGACTGGGGATGTGGCTCAGTGGTTAAGTGCCCATGGGGTCAATCCTGATACTTTAAAAAAAAAAAAAAAAAAAAGATAAATAACTCGGGGCCGCAGGTGGAGTGCAGAGATAGATTGTGAGCTTACTTGCACAGGCCCTGGCTCAACCTCAGCACCTCAGACACAAGACAACCAGGGTGCGCCCTTCCACTGCAGGCAGGAGAGCCCAGGGGTAAATCCCAGGGTAGAATTGCTGGACCAGAGGGTGTGTACTTTTCCCCCATGTCTCGGGCTCTCCTTCCTGAGAGAGTGGAGTCAGTGCTGGGCTTGGCCTGTGTCTCCAGCCTGTTCCTGCCTCTCCTGGGAGCAGGTCTCTCTGCCCAGCCTCTGGTAACAGGCTGCCTCCTCCCCTGTCCCCAGGGCAGCGGCTGTTTGGGGAGAGCATCCTGGGCCTGACCCAGGGCTCTGTGTCTGACCTGTTGTCCCGGCCCAAACCCTGGCACAAGCTGAGCCTGAAGGGGAGGGAGCCCTTTGTCCGCATGCAGCTGTGGCTCAGTGACCCCCACAATGTGGAGAAGCTAAGGGACATGAAGAAGCTAGAGAAGAAAGGTAAGAGCTGGGCAGGGGACAGGTCCAGCATGGGGTCTGTCCTATTTCCCTTTGGAACCTGCCTGGCTGCCACCTAAATATGCCCAGGCTCTCGCTGCTGGGAAACCACATGAAATGGCAGTCCCAGAGGACGGTACAGTGTTCTAAGAAGTGGGTGGCAGCATCTGCATCTCCCGTGAAAACCCCCACCCACAGCTGCCCCAGAGTGCTTGCAGCCTCAGGCAGAGGTCCCCAAACACTCCCATCCTCTGCCTCCGCTGCATGCTGTGCAGATGGAGCGCCCTTTGCCCTACCCAGACACTACAATAAAGGACAGAACTGACCCAGCAGAAAAGAGGAGGAATAGACCCGAGTCCCACAGTCCCCTTAGAGAGCACTTCCCAGTGACCCGAAGACCTCCCACCATAAAAGATCCCATCACTTCCCATAGCGCCCACCTGGGGCTGAGCCTCTAAAACACAGGCCTTTAGGGAGCATCCCAGACGCAAACTATAGCAGCGCCCCCCCTTTTATATTGGTGTTTTTACCATTTGGGGTCAAAATGTGCCCGGCAGTAAGGGGGTTCGTTTAGACTCTGCTTGAAACTCAGTGAGGCCGTAGAGGGCGCTGTTGGGAGGCTTCCTGAGTGCAAGGCACCCTGCTGAGCCCTATATGCAGGTGACCTAACTTCAGAAGCCAGTGGCTTGGGTCTGGCATTCTCAGGCCAGCCTCTTAGCAGAGGAGTTGGGAGGAGGTGGAAATTCACCCAAGAAGAGCTCTGAGCGGGGATGACTGATCCCTGCTGTCCCTGGGGGGCTGATGGCGGTGTTGATGGACCCCTCAGCCTCCCTCCCTCCCCTGGCCCAGCCTACCTGAAACGCCGCTATGGCCTCATCAGTACTGGCTCGGACAGCGAGTCTCCAGCCACGCGCTCCGAGTGCCCCAGCCCCTGCCTGCAGCCCCAGGACCTGAGCCTCCTGCAGGTCAAGAAGCCCCGCGTGGTGCTGGCGCCCGAGGAGAAGGAGGCGCTGAGGAAAGCTTACCAGCTGGAGCCCTACCCCTCCCAGCAGACCATCGAGCTGCTGTCCCTCCAGCTCAACCTGAAGACCAACACCGTCATCAACTGGTTCCACAACTACAGGTGGGGGCTCTGGGCAGACCCAGGTGGGGTGGGCTCTCCCCATGCAGGGCCACTGTGGGCCCAGAAGTGCCTGGAGTAGAGCCCAGCTCTGTCCCTTCAACCGTGGGACCCTGGGCAATCACTTGCCTTCCCTAAGCCTCAGTCTTCTGACCTATACAACAGGGACAGCATCCACCTCTTAGCTTCCTCAGAGATTGACAAACCAACACGTGCACATAGCAGACCTGGGGCATAGTCAGTGGTAGGTACTGATGGTGTTGCTGTCGCTGCCATTATTACTCCACCCAGCTTGCTTTGCGTCTGCCTCCAAGAAGGCACAGGGAACGGGACCTGGGGCACACACCCAAGACACCCTCACAACCCACTGGACTCAGGCAGGAGCCCTGACAAGGCTCTGGGTCCCTCCCACTCCTGAGGCTGAAAGAATTACCCTGGTCCCTCCTTGGGTCTGCCTGCTTGGGGTCCTTGGGATGGAGTTTCCTCTTCTGTGGCCCCTGGTCTTGGGAGTCACTGACCTCTAGCAGACTGGACTTCTGGGAGCCAGTCCCAAGATGGCTCCATGGAGATTGCAGGGGGTCTTCTTGAGCCCAAGCAGAGCCCCTAGGAGTGGGCTTGTGGCAGTATTACAGGGGCCCTAAGCAGGGAGCATCCTCAGTGCCCATGTGGTGCCAGAGAGCAGAGCCTACCCATTCATGTCACTGGTGGAGAGATCTCTTGCTCCCCTAGGAAGAAGGAGGAAGAGGAGCCTGGGGAGTGGGGGTCTCAGGTGTTCAGTCCCAGCCTGGACTTAGGCATTGCACAGATCTGAGCCCAAGGCCTAACTTGGCTGTGTGGCCTCGGCAAGTCACTTTACCTCTCTGAGTCTCATCCTTACTTTACAGACGAGGAACCTAATACCTACCCCACAACTCTTGATCATGATCAAATGAAATAACTTTGGGTATGAACATGTTAAGTATTGCTCATTATCTGACTCACACCAGAGCCTGCCAAACAGTGCATGACAAGGTCCTTACAGCCTTCTCCCCCTCCCTGAGTGATGTGGGGACATCTTCTCGCCTCTGATTGCCACGAGACTGAGCATTCCATCGTTGCCCAGCATGACCATGCCCACGGTACTAACAAAGCTTGCACAGTGAGCCAGCATCTGGAGTCAGGTGGAAGCCATCCTGCTCTCGGGAGTTTATGATCATGAACTTTACTATGACCCAATAAATGCTGTAGGATGAGGAGGAATAAAGGTCTTGGGGAAAGGGGATTCTTCCTGGGGAATACTTTAGAGAAGAGGAGGCATTCAAACTTCCTTATTTTGAAGGAAGTATAGGGGTCTGTACCAAGGAACAGAGGGGATTCTTCTCTTAAAAGAAATGACTCTCCAAGGTTATCGCCGCAGAAGAAGACACTATTTCATTTGATAAATGTTTGTTGAGCACCTACTCTGTACCAGGCACTGCAGAGAACTAGAAAATCCTTGCCCCTAGCATCTTCCAGGCCAGCAGGTATTCACGATCACATATCATGCACTGCAGTGAATTCTGGGAAAGATGTGCCACAGGATGTGTTGAGAAAATTACCAGGGAGTTCCTGCTTTAGATTTGGGAGTCCTCCTGGGCAGTGGGTAGGTCCAAAATACTGCTCATGCAGCTGAGTCCAAGGTTCCTGGGTCCCTGGTCCAGCCCCAGGCTCACCACTCTCTCTACCCCAGGTCCCGGATGCGCCGGGAGATGTTGGTGGAGGGAACCCAGGACGAGCCAGACCTCGACCCAAGTGGGGGTCCTGGTGTCCTACCACCAGGCCACTCCCAGCCGGACCCTGCCCTGCCGAGCCCTGACTCCGAAGCTGAGGACCAGAAGCCCACTGTGAAGGAACTGGAGCTTCAGGAGGGCTCTGAGGAGCGCATCATGCCCCTGACCGCCCCGGACAGGTCCCAAGTGAGGATCAAGCAGGAGCAGAGCGAGGAGGACACTGAGGAGGAAGTGGGCGGCCAGCCCCAGGACCCAGGGGAGCCAGACAAAGGCCAAGGAMCCCCCAAAGAGGAGCATCTTGACCCTCTTAGTAATGATGGACTCCCAAGAGTGGCCCCAGAGCCCCTTCTTTCAGGCGGAAACACCTCAGACTGCACCTCACTACATCCCCCCGAGGAGAGTGAGGCTGGGGGGAGGCTTCACTCGGACCCTCTGAGTTTTAAGTCAGCCTCGGAGTCCTCGCGCTGCAGCCTGGAGGTGTCACTGAACTCGCCCTCAGCTGCCTCCTCACCAGGCCTCATGATGTCTGTGTCACCTGTCCCCTCCTCCTCAGCCCCCATCTCCCCATCCCCACCTGGTGCCCCCCCTGCCAAAGTGCCGAGTGCCAGCCCCACTGCCGACACAGCTGGGGCCTTGCACCCCAACGCCAAGGTGAACCCCAATTTGCAGCGGCGGCATGAGAAGATGGCCAACTTGAACAGCATCATCTATCGGCTAGAGAGGGCTGCTAACCGGGAGGAGGCCCTGGAGTGGGAATTCTGAAGGCAGGGTGAGGGGCATACCCTGGGCCCCCTTCCTTTTCTCACTCTCCTAGATGGGGTTGGGTGGGAGGGAGGCACACGACCACCCAAATGTGGACAGCAGAGTTATGCCATTTATGTTTTTTGTTGTAATCCTGGTTCTCTGAAGTTGCAGGTGGGCAGGTGGAGCAAATGCCGTGGCCTCTTCCTTTTGGCATTTCCCACAGCAGGAAGCTTGGGTGACCTGCCCTTCTCCCSGACCCTGGCCCCTCTACAGGAGGCAGAAGCAAAACGGCACCACATTTTCACCTGAAAACTCCAAACTCTTTTAGAAAAATAAAGAAATATTTATAGACCTCTTTTAGATATTTTAATAAAGGATCCTTTGGAATTTATTCCCAGCCGATGCTGTTTTGATATTACAGAGAGTTATGAAATCAGGATGCTGTCACAACTGTTGCGAAGTATACATGGAAGTTGTGTTGTTTTTTTGCCACTAGATGAGATTAAAAGAAGACAATTGTTCAAAGCCATCAGTAAACACTATAAGACTGACCAAATTTAAATAACCTTTGAACCACGGTTTTCCCCACGCCTGTCTGTGAGACACAGCACGTTGCCATTGCCTGTCCAGAAGCCGTGCTGAAGGGAGAAAGTCCAAAAGACTCTAAACGAACACCTCGATGCCGTTGAGGATGTGTTCCATTCTGGTAGTCTGTTCTGCAACCTTGATAACATAGAGTGTCCCGTGCTGTTGTAAATGTCATAGAGATGTGGGCCRTGGCCCAGCGTCCTAGACTAGAGGTGGCATGGTACAAAGCAAACTGTTATACTCCCTGGTTAGGAACCCATCATGCCCATCTGTAGAAAAGATGTGTTTCCAGATCCTTCAGAAAGCTGGGTGTCGGGGCAGGTGCTCTGAGATGGTGCTTCAGCCAGAATAACCCCTATTCCCAGCCTGAATCATGGCCACACCCAGCAAGTTTCCCCACTGGGCATTCCAGAGAAGACTGGCTGCATCCTCCCTCCTCGTGCTCTCAGAGGGACAGTGCGGTTATCCCACGTGCAGTGAAGCTCAGCAGCCAGTGCCAAAGCAGATTCACCCACTAGAGACCCCAGCGGACCTGATCATCACCTCAAGCYGACCCCGGTGCTGCGTCTGGAAGGCTGAGTTCAGAACAGCATGTCCACGTACCCCAGTCTCCAAGGCCACCCTTCTTTCCAGCGCATGACTACTGGGAGCCAAGACTCAGCCCCAACTCAGGGGAGCCTTTCCTGCACATTTCGTCGTGTGTTTAGGGAGAGAGCTCCCCATCAGAATGGAGCAGCCTCCAAGGTGGTGGTTAAGCTCTCCATTTTACTTCTTTACATTTTCCAAACTGTGGGAAGGCTAAATTGGGTGACTCCCTGGAATGGTAACAAAAAAGTGACTGTAACTGGTGCCAAGTCAGTGCCAAGGGAAGAGATGGCAGACACATGTGGTGAGTATTTTGAAACCACAGGCAAAACCCAGCGACCAGAAAGGGACAACTGAAGACCGTCTCAGAAATCCCAACTCTAGTGCACCCAGCCCAGGCTGCAGTCCCACACCAGTCAACGTCGACACACCCCCGGAGGAGGGCCTCGCCCTCCGCACACCCAGGCTATGCACTGAAGAGTTTTCCACTGTATACATTTTTATCCAGATGAAGGTATTTTTATATTTTGACAATAGGAAACAGAGACCAGTTTTCAGAGTACTCCAATCAGTGAAACATCGCGTAGCCACCACCGCCCTGTTGCACTAGACACTGGGGAAACACACCACTTTTTACTCTTGGAACCAACGCAACGTTGAAATCCAGGACTCTGATCCTTAGAGAACTCACGTTGGCTTTAGTGTGACGGGATTTGATTAAGCACTTAGTCTTCTGAACACAGAAATCCTGTCGTACTCAAAAGCTGGCAGACCCGTGAACAGCTCTGTCTGGTTCACGTCCTGCAACGGTAAAACAACATCCACAAAACCCCACAAAACTGTTTCTATGAGAGATTGATGAACTTTGTTTAAAATTTWAAAAAAAAGGAACACATTCTGTAAACAAGTCGCTAAATACAGAATTGTATAATAATTCTGGGTGTCCCGCTTCTTTGTTCTGGAGCTGGGGGAGCAAACTGGGGGTCTGAACAGGTCCTCAGAGGTATTTTGCAAAACTCTATTTTTAAAAACTAGTTTTTTAGTTGGGTGCCAACATTAAAATCCAGGGGCATGTTACTTAGGAGACATGAATAGCAGCTCGTCCATCATCTTCCCATGTGGACAAGATGTGTCTCCAGATCCTTCAGAAAGCCGGGTGTCAGGCCAGCTGTCAGAGGGTGTTGCTTCAGCAGGGGTGACCCCATTTCCCAGCCTGAACCATGGCCACACCCAGGAAGTTACTCCACAGGTGTAGAGCATCCTGAGGAGACAGGCAAGTCCAGCTTCTCTTGAAAACCCTGGTATCGGCCACACTAGGCCACATTCTAAGGTGACAACAGCCAGCTGAGGAGCGGCCCTCCCTAGACAGCGCAAGGCCCTTGACTTATCTCCACCTGGGCCCTGTGGCATCTGGGTTGACGACTGTGCTTTGGGCTCCAACTGCCCTGAAGAAAGAGGGAAGGATTTTTCCCACTTGTTTTGTGTTTGTTTTTTTTTGTTTTGTTTTGTTTTGTTTTGTTTTGTGTGTGTGTGTGTGTGTGTGGTGCTGGGGATTGAACCTAGGGCCTGATGCATGCGAGGGAAGCACTCTACCAACTGAGCTATGTCCCCAGACCCGATTTTTCCCACTTGTGCAGCAGAATGGAAACTGGTTGCTTAGACTCTGGGGCCTGGTACAGGAGTCAAGGTCGTACCCTGTCCCCACATCTGTGGCTTCAGACCAGCCAGCTGGTAAGCAGTTTCCACTTCGGGGGAGTGTGGGGCAGTCAGTGCCCCAGCCTCCCAATAAGATGCCAAGAGGGACTAACTGGGGGTAAACAGCCTCAGACTCTTCCCCGGTGTGTAACCAGGGCCTCAGGTTTCCTCACCTGTAAAATGGGCAACTCACAGCAACTGACTCAGGGTCATTCTGAGGAATGAGCCTCAGCACGTAAGACGTGTGGAATGGGAGTCCAGCAGCTGACACTGTCAGTGGGCAGGTTCCTTCTGTCCACGGACAGGCTGCAGAATGGGTTTTGTGTGTGACCAGTAATGTTGAGAGAGCCCTGAAGTGGCACTAAACATGACTCACCCATGAGCCAAAGCCACATGGCATCCCCAGGCAAGCTGCCCCTCACCCCCGCCGCCTGAAAACCTTCCACTCACCCCACTTCTTCCTCCTGCCCCCACAGTGGGAATTAAGTGACCAAGTTTCACCACCCCAGCTAGTAGAACTGTCACTCCAACCCTCGAGATCCCCTGACAACCCATCATGGGGCGTGGAGCTGGGAGAAGCAGGGGCTGAGGGCCGAGACCCATCAGAGCTCCCATGAAGGGGTGACGTTTGGGGTGGGCCCAGGCCCTCTTCAGAGCTGCACCTCTCAAAACTGTGCATGGCCCAATCCCTTACTTCCCCAGCTGCAAAGGGGGTGATAGCAACGACACTGTCCCCACAAAGCAGTTGCAAAGGTTCAAAATGGTGGTAAAATCTGAACTCCCAAGGAGTGTTTCCTTGAGTCCTGAGTTCTCAGCTCTTGAGAAACTGGAAAGTCAGGAAGAAGGCAGGGCATGGTGTCCTGAATCCCAGAGACTCAGGGGAGGCTGAGGCAGGAGGATCACAAGTTCCAGACTGCCTGGGCAACTTAGCCTCCCCTATTTCAAAATAAAAATGGCTGAGAGCATGATTCAGGGGCAGAGGAGAGTAGAGAGCTGAGCTAAGGGCAGTGTGGCAACTGTTCACTCAGCTGCTGAGTATTTATTGAGTGCCTGCTGTGTGCTCAGGGCTTTGATGGGGAAGTTCAGGAACTGAGAACAGTAGTGAGGCCCAGGAGGAGGGAACAYCGGCAGGAGATGGGACAGAGGCAAGAAGGGGCGAAGTCCTAAGGAGACTGGAATACAGGGCAGAGGCATGGGAGGAAGAAACAAGGCATCCTTATGAAGAAGCACTGTGGGGCCTGGTGGGAAATACACCTTTCTCCCAAGGGCACTGGGGAGCCATGGAGGGAGTGAGGCCTGGCGTTCGGGTGGGCAGACTTGTACTCTTAGGAAATTAGGAGGTTCCACCTGCTGGGAGATGGCAGGCCAGAGGGTAGCGGCAGGGTCCTTCCACACAGGCCTCCACGCTGCTTGCTTCCCCACCCCTGTCTGCCTTGTCTCCTGGTTAAGCCCCCCACACACACACACATTTGGCAGCAGCTGCACATCCCAGGTGAATGAACCTGGCCTTAGGGCCCTGGCTGCTGGGCTAGGGGGTCACTTGAAAGCCTGGCTCCACAGTCAAGGTACAGTTTGCATTGCTATGGAAACTGGGCTGCCTGCCCCCATGCTAAATCCACCCTCCAATGTAAGAGCACTGGGGCAGGGGCTCAGGCAGGGGACTGCCCAGAAAGGCAGCTGGGTGACCTTGGCCAAGGTGACTCCTTACTCCAGGTCCCCCTTGACTTTAATGGCCTGCGGCCTCGAGCCAGTGCCCTGAGGTGTAGCAATGAAAGCACTGGCTTTGAGCTGAGTCTGCCCTGGGTTTACCTCCACCGTGGGGCACCCCAGGGCCCTTCAGTGAGCCTGGGTTTCCTCATCCGTACAATGGCATGGTCATAGCAGCATCTTCTCAGGTTACAGCTGTCCTTGCTGTAAAACAAACAATGCCACGACCTCATGGCTTAAAGCAAGAAACGTTTGTGTTCCACAGCTTCTGTGGGCCAGGAATCTGGGGCTGGCCTGACTGGCGGACTCTCAGGTTTCACTTACGCCATCAGCGAGGGCTGCAGTTAACCAAGGCAGCACTGGGGCTGGCCACCTGCTTCCAAGATGGTGCACTCCCATGGCCACCAGGCAGGTGGGCCTCAGTCCCTTTCCAGCTGGGCCTCTCCATGCGGCAGGTGACTTTTCAGAATACCAAGGTGGAAGCTACAGGGTACTCCTCTGTGACCTAAATTTGGAAGTTCTATTATCCTGTCCCCAGCATCCTGTTAGCTCCACAGGCTGCCTAAGATTTGGTGTGGGAGGGTGGGGAAGCAAGAGGAGGAGGCAAGTTTTACTTAAGAGAGGGATCCCAGCAGCTCAAGAAGCCAAGGCAGGAGGGTTGCGAGTTCAAAGCCAACCTCAGCAACTTAATGAGRCGCTAAGTAACTCAGTGAGGCCCTGGCTCTAAATAAAATACAAAAAAGAGCTGGGAATGTGGCTCAGTGGTTGAGCATCCCTAGTACCAAACAAAAGGGGGACAGAAGTAGAGGAGACTTCTCCAGAGAGAAGGGGGCCCGGAGCTGGGTGCCTGTAGGAGGGGTGTGTCTTGCTCTTTTACAGACCCCAGAATCCCCCACCGTCTCTTTCTTCTCCATGTGTCTACCCGAGGGCAGGAAGGAGCAGCACAGGGTAATGGCAGTGTTGGGAAGTGTGATCCTTGAGATTAGCTGTTAGCAACCAGYGATACCCAGCCCTCAGTGCCCCAGCTGGCTCAAATGCAGTCTAAAGGTGGAGCCACTGATTGGGCATCAGTCAGAGGAAGCAAGGCCAGGGCACTGGGTTGCTTTGGATCTCTAGTTGTGCTGCCCGTGAAGGACACTGACAAAACGAGAGAATGAGGAGTCAAGAGTAAATATTCCTTGAGTGTCTTGTCGCAGGCAGGAGCCACTGGGTTTAAAGAAACCGCACATAGTTGATGGGGGACCCCAGGCAGGGGCCTGTGTGGAGTCCACTTTGATCTGTCCAGTTCTCTAACAGGTCTGGTTGTCTTCTCTCTCTGACATCAGGACTTCCTGGTCCATCAGGTCTTCAGTCAAGTGCCCTCAGGTACCTTATTTTCTATTCTCCAACTCAAAACTCTCAGGACTCTGATTGGCTCAGCCTGTGTCTTGGGACCAATGCTTGCCCAAGGAGCTGTAACCAGGAGGGAAGGAAGAAGTGGGGGGGGCATGACTGGCCTCTCTATGACCCCTACCCTGAGGAGCTGTGTTCTGGAGGCTTGTTGCCCTGCCCCAGGACTACTCTACCCTGCAGCTAGCAGACAGCTGTCCCTGGACCATGAAGAGAGGTCAATCAATTACTTTGAGAACTGGCCTGATGAGACTGGCATCCATACCCCACGTGCAGGTAAACCCAACAGGGGCAGCCCAACTGCCTGGCAGGATCGGGCAACCCCTTTGGAAGCTCGGAAAAAGAAACACTTCCTGGGCCATGGTTTTATGTATTTATTGTGGCACTGGAGATTGAACCCACTGAGCTGCATCCTTGCTATTTTGAGACAGTGTCTTGCTAAGTTGCCCCAGCAGGCCTGCAGCTTACCACTCTCCTGCCTCAGCCTCCTGAGTCACTGGAATCTAGTCTGAGTCACTGCACCTGGCTCCCAACTTACTTCTTCAGAATGAACGGTAGTCCACTATTCATCCAGACCACATGGTCTACCCATTCATCTGTGGGTGGACACTGGGGGGCGCTTCCGCTTTGTGGCCATGGTGAATAGGCTGCTATGAACACTCTCTAAGCCCCTGCTCTCAATTCTTAATGGCATCCACCCAGAAGTGGAATTGCTGGTGACTATTTTTAACAGTTTGAGGAACCACCAGGCTTTTCCACAGAAGCTGCTCCATTTCACATCCCCACAGACACTGCACGAGGGTTCCCACTTCTCCAAGCCCTGCCCACACGCGCCGTCTTTCTTCCTAGCAGTCATCCTGAGAGGTGCAAGGTGGGCTCCTATGGTCCTGGTCTGCACATTCCTGTTGATTAGTGACACGGGGCATCTTTTCAGGTGCTCACTGGCTATTTGTGCACCTTTTTTGGAGAAATGTCTAATCAAGCCCTTTGCCCATTGTTTTATCAGGTAGTTTTGTTGTGACTGTCAATGCTGTTGGGTTCTGGGGTTTCTACATATTCTGCACGTCACTCCTTAACCAGATTGCAAAATGATTTGCACATAGTTTCTTATGGCCCATCTTTTAAAAAGTCTTCATCAGAAAATGAAAAAAAAAAAAAAAACCTTGGCTGGACTTAGTGTGTTATTTTACCACCATGGAGGGTTTCATTCCATTTGGGATGCTGAAATGGAGCTGTTGGGACAGGCAGCAGGCACACACTCACCAAGTATGTGTTAGGTAAGGGGAGGGGGTAGGGTAGGGCCGAGGGAGTGGGCAGTTGGCATCTGATCTAACCACAGAGCAGGGACAAAGCCCTGCTCAGAATCTTACGAGGTGCAGAGCCACATGAGGAGGAGACCTCTCTTTTGGGTCCGTTCTTTTGGGAGAGCAGAGATGGAAGGCTTCCAGGGAAAGGATGAGAAGCAGTGGCCCCCCCTCACTGTTGAGAGAGCCCCACTTGAGCACTGACCTTGCCAAGCCAAGAGCACTCTACAGCTGGTTACCCAGAACTGCCCGCCTCAGAAGTCTCTGGCTTATCTATTAGGAAGCTCAGGCAACAGACAACAACAACAACAAAAAAATCCCACTCATGGTTCTACACAAGAACATCTATTACCTCAAGTAACAAGATGTCTAGAGGAAGGGCAGGTTCCTGGGTCCACTGTTGCAGCTGTTCAAGGTCATTTTCAATCTCACATGGGCATTTTCTTTAGAGTGGCCTACTTTGTGACGGCAAGGTGACTGCCACAGCCCCAGACGTCACCAACATCAACTCCCCACCAGAGGGCAACTCTCTATGTTCTCTTTTAAGAAGACCCTTCCGCTCACATGGCCTTTGGCAGCTAAGGTTTAGCCAATCCCTGCAGGTCCAACAGCAGCAGCGTAACCAGCCATTCAGGGTGRATGGATGTTGGGCAGCCTGCCCTGACCTCTTGCCTGCATGCTCCCTTTGAGGGTCTCACCCTCACTCCAGTGGCTTCTCAGAATATTCCTTCCGCCATGTAGAGTGTCCCCCTTAGACTTGTGCCCTGAACATCTCCCCCGTCCAGGGGAAGCCTGGTCCCTTAGCAGGTGACGCACTTTTTGGCACTGATGGGCTCTGCTCCCCTGACACCCTCAGGCAGCTTGGTGGCAAGGTTCTGGCAGGTGAGGGCACTTCTGCAACCTCCCCCTTGCAGTTGGCTCTCTCCTGCTATTTCCCCCATTCTGTGCCCATCCCCTGCGGTGGGCACTGCGGTCACAAATGCCACAGGCAGTGCCCTGACTCAGTCTGTGTGGGGAGCCACTTCCCCAGCCCCACTTGGCTGAGGTCCCTCCAGCAATGGGACTAATGACTCAGCATGCGCTGGAATGTTCGGTGGCACGATCTCCTGACCTTAGTATTTTTAATTTCTTGAACACGAGGACTGTAAGTTGTTCATCCTAAGCCACATTTTCCTGAGTGCGCATTTTTCCAGGCTGCCGAGGCAGACCTGTGACCCTAGTGCTGAGTTCAAGTAGGGCAGACCTAGGGCCCCCTGCATCATGCTAGTTCTCGTCTGTGAAACCCCATTAGCCCCCAAAGACAAGCAGCCTGAGAGGCAGCACCACCGCGGGGCGCACACAGCAGACATTACTAATCCATCACAGGCCCTTCCCTCTGAGCTTAGATGGGTGCAAAACTGCTCTTTACTCCAGGGCCCCTGGCAGCCACCAAGAAGTGACGAATGACAAGACCCAGGTTATGACTTCCATTTGCCATCCCTGACAGTGTCCCTCCCAACCCTCAGGCCCTGGGCCCACAGTTGACTTTCAAATCCTTTTCCTTCCCACTGCCTTCTCTCCCTTCTGCAAAGGAACTTTGTGTTCCATTTTCCCTCCTAGTCCTCCTGAAGTCACTGCCTACCATAGAATCCCAGCTGTGTGGCCTTGGGGAATACCGTAACCTCTCTGAGCCTCAGTTTCCTCATCTATCAAATGGGCCAGCATTTGATAGCTTCCCTGAGAGGTTGTGAGAATATGTCTGGCATCAGCCACAAGGAGCCACACATTGGTCACCTCCCTTGTAGGGCCTGCTCTGGCTCTGCCAGGCAAATCTTTTGGGGGAAAAAGGACACAATCAGCCAATCCTCCACAGACTTCTTTATTTGAGCCCTTATATCTCCCTCCCAGGCTCACATTTCTCCCCAAACTCAACCCTGGAGGCAGCTGGACTGCATGGTGTGCTTTGGGAGGAGAGGAGCATCCCTTGCCCCCAGGAGACTGGGGTCACTGTACCTTTAGAATTTGTAAACTTGCACCCACCAGCTGGGCCTGGCCAGGTCTTCCTGAGCCCCAGAGCCTGTGGACAGGAGCCACCATCACCCATACTGCTCAGTACTCGGAGAGGAATGAGGGACCGTACCAAGACTCCAGAGGCACGTGACCAGGGGACAACAGGGCTTGCCAGAGAGGGCAAAGGACAGATGAGATACCCTGTCCAGCACCTCGGCATCTCAGAGCCACCTGTGCCTCTGCAGCTGAGGCCACCCCTCCCTGGGAACTGTGCCACCCAAGCTGAAGTGGCTTTCTTCCTGCCACCCAACAGGAACAAAAGCAGGGCAAACACCAAGATCCACTGCCAGAAAAACAAACAAAAAAGAACATCCTAAATATTTAAAAATAAAATTCACAGCCCCAGACAAGCCCCAGCCCACTGAGCCAGCAGGGAGCTGGGGAGGCCTTGATTGCAGACCCTCCCAATATTTCCCCAGCCCCAGGCTCTCCAAAGACAGAAGAGGAAGGAGTAGGGGCTGAGTCTGTAGGTCACCAAGGAGCAGCCTTCGGGGAATAAAGGTGGAGGTGAGGTGTCCTCAGGGCTCCCGGGTGCAGGGAGCTGAGGACTGTAAACATGACCCAGGTGGAGCCAGGGGTGTCCCGGCCCCAGGGTTCTTCCTGGATGAAGAATGGGCACTGTGGTGAGTGAGAAGGAGAGCCAGTCAGCAGCTGGCCTCCAAGCACAGGAGTCCTGGGAAATCGGGGATACAGTGGCTGGAGGCCAAGCACAGCTCTGCAGCTGCTGTTGCCCACGGGGTCAGTACCTGGCCCTTGCCCCTGTGAGTCAGCAGTGAAGTGCCCCCCCCCCCCCAGGAACCTACTGGAAAGAGCTGCCCAGCCCAGGGCTAGAGGTCAGGCAGCCAGCAGAGAGGTCCCACCCAGGCCTGGGCAAAGAGCTGGCTGGGGAGGTGACTGAGGAACGCAGTCAAGGACAGCATGAGGGGGCCCGAAGCTTCTGCCCGCAAGGAGCATGGCCTCCAGGAGCTCTGGAACCAGATGAGCTCACCCTAAGGTCTCGCACTAAAACCCGCACCTGCCGGCGGATGGCCCAGGCAGGGCAGCTTCTCTGGCAGGTGCTACAGCAAAAGGTCCAGCCAGGAGCGGCGCTGCGCCCAAGCCCTCCCTCCGCCCGGGAAGGCGCCCTGGGGACAGAGCCACGTGTCCGGCCAAGCCGGGAGGCCAGTTGCTTGCAAGAGCCAACCCCTAGACCCCTAGGGCAACCCCTGGACCTGGCTCCTCTTAGCGACAGGACGGGCGGTGGGGCACAGTCTTAAGGTCCCGGGGACAGGCCCGGCGTCTCTAGCTCGGCTGGGACTTGGGTCCGTGACCTCAGGGCCGGGCCCTGCTGCTGAGCCACTGGTTGCGCAGCGCCCTCACCTCCTGCCCGTACCACTCGTGCAGCCGGATGAAGGGGGCCGAGTCCAGGGGACCGTGCGGCGCCGAGGCCCTGCGGCGCGGAGGCAGCGGGGGCCGCTCGGGGCCGGGCCGCGCGGCGGGGGCGGCGGGGGTCTCGGCGCTCCACACAGCGCAGGCGCAGCCGTTCTCCCGCGGCGGGAGCGCGCTGGGCCTGCGGGGCGGGGCCGCGCCGCCCGCCGCGCGCATGGCTGCCAGCTGCTGCTCCAGCTCGCGCACCACGAGCCGCAGGTAGTCGAAGCTGGCCCGCGACAGCGCCTTCACCCAGCCCTCCATGGCCGCTTGGCTCTCGGCCGCCAGCACGTAGGTGCGCGCCCGCGCGCCCGCAAAGCGCACGGCGAAGGCGAACTCCTCAGCGGCCTCCACCAGCTCCACCGTGCAGCCCTCCAGGATGATGACGCCCACGGGCTCGCGGCTGCCCGGCTCCTCGAAGTAGAAGAGCATGTTGCCGCGCAGCACGAACCAGCGGCGGTGGTAGGCCGCGTGGCGCCCGCCCTTCTTGTACAGGAAGCCCGCGTTGTCCACCGGCGCGTCGCACGTGGCGTAGAAGGCCAGGCTGCGCTCGTTCAGCTTCATGGTGACCGGCCAGGCCTGGGGGCAGCGCGGGCTGTCCCGCACCGGGATGGCCGGTTATTCGCCTTCCCAGCGCCTCACAGCCCCCCTCTCCGCACCAACCCGGCCATGCCACAGGTGAGGAAACTGAGGCTCAGAGTGGACGCGGCCGCCTGAGCTTGCACACTCCCGGGAGCAGGTGGGACTCTGCCTCGGTCTCACAGCCCCGCAGCCAGCCTCCTGTCGCTCTGCATCCCCAAATGTCCTACGTGTGCTACTTAACATACTCACTTATTTAAATCATACAGCAAACCTTGGGTGGTGGGGACTGGCCGTACTCCCATTTGACAAATAAGGAAAGAGGCACAGAATTTAATCACAAGGCAAACTGGGCAGAGCTGAAAGTCAAACCCAGGTTTCATTTCAGGCCAGGCTGTTTCCACCACCCTGGACAGTGTTCAGGGACTTACTTTGTCCATCAAATATTAAGCACCTTTTGTGCACAAGGGCCACTACAATAAACAAGATTGACAGGGTCCCTGCCCTTGTGGTACCAACATACTGGTGGAAGGAGATGAATAATTAACCAACAGATCGAAGGTTAACACTGCAGCCGCGTGCCTGTAATCCCAGCGGAGGCTGAGGCAGGRGGCTCCAGAGTTCAAAGCTCAGGCAATTCAGTGGGACCCTGTCTCAAAATAAAATATAAAAGGGCCGGGGATGTGGCTCAGTAGTTAAACACCCCTGGTTCCAATCCCTCATACCAAAAAAAAAAAAAAGAATTAAGACTGTAAATATCACAGTCTTAACATGATATGGAAAAAATAATAAGCAAGGCACAGTGCTGCAAACCTATAATCCCAGCAACAAGAGGCTGAAGCAAGAGGATGGCAAGTCCAAGGCCAGTCTTGGCAATTTAGCAAGACCCTGTCTCAAAAATAAATAAAAAGGGTTCAGTTGTAAAATATCCCAAGGTTCAATCACTAAGACTGGGAAGGGGTTCAGGAGTGTTGGAAACAAGAATAGGGTGCTCAAAGGAAGCCATCCTAAGAAGATGACATGTGAGCAGAGGCTTGGAGGTGAGGGGAGAGCCAGAGCTTTGGAGGAAGGGCATGCCAGGCAGCAGGAACAGCAAGTGCAAGGTCCCCTGTGGTGGTAACCTGCTGATGTGCTAGCAGGACAGACGGGGCAGCAGGCAGAAGGGGGAGAGAAGGAAGATGCAATCAGAAGTAGTTGTTGGGAAACAGAATAGATGAAGATGTGGGCTCAGGGCCTAACCCAGACTTACAGGGAGGAAGGGGCAGAAAGCACTGTGTACTATTCAGCAAAAAGGAATTTAGCCAGGTGCTGTGGCGCATGCCTGTAATCCCAGCAGCGTGGGAGGCTGAGGCTGGAGGATCACGAGTTCAAAACCARTCTCAGCAACGGTGAGGCACTAAGCAACTCTGAGACCCTGTCTCTAAATAAAATACAAAATAGGGCTGGGGATGTGGTTCAGTAGTTGAGCACCTCTGGGTTCAATCCCCGGTAGCAAAAAAGAAGAGGAATCTAACTGGCTGTACTTGGCCACAGTGTTTCCATCCATCTTCTCTCAAATACATGATTGGGTAACACTGGCCAGGTAGGACTTACTGGGAGGTGGCACGTGGGTTCCCAGTGTGGCCATGCCTTCCCCTGGCTGTGTGCACCCCGTGCTCCCTCTTCACAGCCTCACCCTGCATAGGAGGGTACSTATGTAATGTCTCTGGGGTGTAGTGGGTCCTTGATTAATGTTCCTGCCTGGGTGGTGCCTTTCTTGAGTCCTAGAGGAATGAGGTCTGGGTGGTGGCTCTCCTCAGAGCACCACAGTAGGGCCACCTGACCCAGGGCAGAGGGGACAGTTGCTCCAACCAAGTCCTCATTTTCCTGCTGCCTCATGCCACCCACCTGGGCAGGAGGCTCTATCAGCTTGTCCTGACTCGTGGCAGGGCCGTGGCCCCTGTTCAGTCGCCATTCTCCTTCCTTGAGCTATGTAACTTCAAACCTGAGCTGTCCCTCTCCAAGCCTCAGTTTCAATCCGTGCAAAATAGGGCCCACTCATCCGCACACCTCCCCAAAACAACTCCCAAGTAGACCCTGGTCCCGTATCTCACAGGAACCTCCCCACACACAGTTGCCCATTTCCCTCCTACCTCTTAGGCCGCTGCTTGCCGCCCCGCCCTCTGGTCAGCTAGTCACAGGTCAGTCGCTTCACACGTCAGCTCTGCAGTATCCAGGCTGGGTGACCCCAGGCAAGCTGTTAGCCTCCTTGGGCCTTTGTTTCTGCATCTGTAAAAGGGGATCATAGCAGCACCTAAGTCAGAGTAACCGTGATGAGGAAGACAGTGACCATGTGGAATGCCCGTGGCACAGTGTTGGGCACTCTGTAGTGACAACATTTGACATTCTCCTGGGCCTCCCCAAATGCTCCCTCTCATATGCCCAATCTGAGTAAACAGCTCTTAATGTCCCTCTCACCACCACATCTGATCACTAAGGCCAGCTAAACCCTTCAACATATTTCAAATTAGTGGCCTAAAATGTTTACCCAGCCCCCCATTTTAGGCCCCTATCTGTCCCAGCTGGGATGGCTACAGAATCTCTTCACTAGTCTCCCTGCCTCCTTCCTTGCCTCCTCCCTATCCATGGATCTCAGGGTAGGATCCAAATCTCCTCCCCAGACCCCTCTTCTGGGCCCACTGAAATCAACTCCCTATGGAGGGATCCTATTGAAATGAAGTCTTGGTTGGTGCAATGGTGCATGCCTGTAATCTCAGTGGTTTGGGAGGCTGAGGCAGGAGGACCACAAATTTGAGGCTAGCCTCAGCAACTTAGCAAGGCTCTAGACAATTTAGTGAGACCCTGTCTCAAAATTATAAAAAGTGCTGGGGATGTGGCTTAGTGGTAAAGCAGCCAGAGTTCAATCCTCAGCACCCCAAACAAGCAAATAAATAAACAAAACAAAGTCATATCCCTTCCCTCCTCTGCTCTTGGCTCTCCCATGGCTCCGCACTTCTCTCATAAAAATTTTAACCCTCCCACTGGGTGCAGTGGTGCGCACCGATAATCCCAGTGACTTAGGAGGCTGAAGCAGCTTGGGCAACTTAGAAAAAATAAAAAGGGCTGGGAGTATGAGAGTGTATCCCAGTGGTAAAGTGCCCCTGGGTTCCATCCCCAGTGACACACACACACACACACACACACACACACACACACGACTCAGTCTTCCCCGTGACTTCCAAGTTCCCTTTCCTACCTCTTTCCCCCTTGCTCCCTCAACTCCAGCCACCCCAGCCTCCTTTCTGTTCCTCAAATGCACCAGGCACATTCCCACCTCACGCCAACTCCACAGCCTCAGCTCCACTACCCCCTGGGGATGCAGTCCCTGGCCACCCCATGCACGCAGACTGCTAATCACCCTCCTGTATGCCAACCTGAAATTACCTGGGTCATTTTTGCCTGGTCCAGGAGGACAGGGATTTTTTTGTCCGAATTCCAGTCCCTGACAGGTAGTTGATGCTCAGGTACCTACAGAATGAATGAAGCATTCTTAAGCCTCTCCCTGCAAGCAATCTGTGTCCCCCACCCCCATACATGCATGGATGTGGAAACTGAGACACAGGATGAGGAGCTGTCCCAAAGGACACGGCTCCCAGCAAATAGCACAAATAGGGGACTGATTGCCATGGCCCCTGCCTCTAGCAGCCTAGCAAGAAAGGGAAGGGCCGGAAGCTGGAGGGAGCACCTGGTCTCCAGCCTGGATTATTTCCCAYACTGCTTTCCAACAAGTTCAGAGTCCGGCTCTGTGCACCTTTGCTGATTCCATAGCCTGTGGCCAGACAGGAAGCCAGAGGAGGCCAAGTTCCTGCCTCTGCCAGCCCAGGCTGGAGGACCTTGAATGACTTCACCTTTCTGAGCCTCAGTTTCCTCACTTGTTAGGACTGCAGAAAGGTTCAGTGAACTGATATAAGGGGAAAACAGATGATAAACTCTGGAAGAGAAATTCAAAAATATTATCTACTGTGAGTTGAGGTTTTCACCTCTTCTACAAAATGAAACATAAACATTCATCCCACTGGGAAAGGCTAAATCAAAGAATTCTAAAGAGTTATTTTGCAAAATGTTTGATAGGTATTGCTTATTCAGGGAAGAAGCTGTCAAAAGGACAAATAATTAGCCTCAGGTCTCCAAGGGGACAGCTGGCACCAGAACCAGGCCTCTGGGGAAACGGAGGCATGGATGGCATGTTGGCACTCATTTAAGGAAAGAAGCCCAAACCACAAGTCCTGGGGTTGAGTCCAGATGCCCTGAATGTTCCCCACAGTGGGCGTAGGGGAGAGGGTGTGGCAGGCACAGGCTGAAAAACATGTGCAGAGAGCCCCTGTCCTGCGCTGCCCCAGTTGGGGCTACAAGGTCACCAGAACCTGCATCCCGGGTTGACACAGACCCTTGCCCTTGCAGGGACTGGCAATCCAGGTGTGGCCCCGCTCCTAGTTGCCCTCTGTCCTTTTGTGTGTTGTGTGCGGGAGCTTCTGAGTTCCTTAAAGGACAGCCAGAGCCCCAGATGGAGAGGTCAACCGCAAGAGGGACGCCAACTGGAGGGCTGTCCGCTGAGCTCTCCACAGGGGCCCACGTCCTTTATGGGGATGGGGGTCATCAGCTCAGTTCGCCGGGCAGCCAGGGAATTATCACCGGAGCGGAATCTCAAGTGGCAAGATCCGCAGCAGGGCACCAGAGGCCCACCGCGGCTGGCCACGGCCCCGCGTCCTCTCGCTGGTCTCCTGCAGGGGTCCCCGCCAGGCCGGCCTTACCTCGCTGCGCAGGCCTAGGGCGGTGGCGGGACGGGAGGAGCGGGGCCGGGAGGCGGCCGGCCATGGCCCAGGACCCGCTCCGTGGCAGCGACCGGCCACAGCGGCGCTTTGTCTCCTGGGCGGTGCGGCCGGCGCAGCCGCGGGAGAGTGTCTCTTGGACGCAAGCGGGCGGGGCGGCCGGCCAGTCGGAGACCCGCGGGCGCGCCCCTTTAACCTCCCCCGCCCGCCCGCGCAGGGCCCGCCCCCGCGTCCCTCCCGCCCCGCGATTGGCCGGCCCCGGCCCGGCACGCCCCCGGATTCGCCACGCCCCTACGAGCACGTTCCTGAAACCACTCTTAAAGGGAACGCGACTGGTTCAGGAGTCCCCAGGGTCCTCAGGTCCCAGAAACCTGAGGATTTGAACCTGGAAAACTCAATGCAGTTCCAAAGGTAAGGACAGGTCGCAGATTCGCCTGGAAAAAAAAATAATAACATTGGGGTCCGGGGGAGGAGGCATTCGCTGAAGTCCAAGACTGGAGTCTGAGCTTCCCACTGGCAAGGGTTGCTAGATGGATCCAATTTAACTCCAAGCTGAAATGGAAAAATAATTCCCGAAAATTTGTGGTTTATTAGAAAACAACGGAATACAAGCCATTTCAAGTATCTTGGATAGGATAGTCTATTCAGGACTATCCTAATATATAGGATGCCTGGCAATACAACCCCTTCCCTTAAGTGAAGAAAATTCTAGAAGTGGGCAGAGTTCAAGTCTCACTTAGCCACAGAATCATGGAGTGACCTTAGAGAAATCACTTCACTTCTCTAGGTTTCCATTTCTACATCTGTTAAACAAAGATAAACATGGTATGTAAAGTGTATGCCACAAGAGCCAGCAATTGCTGGGGAGAACTGCAAGTTCAAGCCAGCCTTGGCAAGTTCAAGGCCAGCCTCAAAAGGCAATGGGGTAGAAAGACTAAGAGTGTGACTTTTAGACAAATGGTCAAGGAAGGCTTGAAGAAGAGAGAGGAAAGAGGAGGGAACCCTGTAATATTGTAGGAAGAGTGTCCCAGGCAGGGGGAACAGGGAGTGCAAAGGCTGGGATGGGACCACCCTGGACATATTTGAAGTATGATGAGACCACAGGATGGAGCCCCTGAGCAAGTAGAGGAAATGAGGTCAAATATGATTGCAAAGCCAGATTGCATAGGGCCTGTGGATCATGGGAAAGATATTTTGCTTTTACTTTGAGAAGAACCAGGAGCCATGCAAAAGTTTTGAGCAGAGGAGGAATGTGATCTGTCTGAAGTTTAGCACAACCCCTGGCTGCTGTGGGGAGGAGGGGCTGTAGGGAAAAAGAGAAGGGGCCAAGATCCAGGAAAGAAGCTACTGTAGTGATCCTAACAAGTCATGATGGGGCTTAGAAGAGAGTGGGGCAGTGAGATTCAGAGAAAGGCTGAAATTCTGGGTGTATTTTTAAATATATGCAAGATCAGCTGATGGCTTGGATTTGGGGAGTGAGAGAGACAAACCAAAAAGGAATCAAGGATGACTCCAGGGCTGGGAACATGGCTCGGTGGTGGAGCACCTGCCTAGCATGCATGAGGCCCTGGGTTCCATCCCCAGCCCCTAACACTTAAGAATGGCTCCATATTTTGGGTCTCAATAATAGGAAAAATGGAGAAGTCTTGAAGGGAAAAATCTAGGTTAGTTTTTTTTTTTTTTTTTTTTTTTTTTAATTACATTGAGCCAAAACAACTAGATGTCATGTAGAAAAGTAAACCTTGGTCTTTACCTCACACCATACAACAAAAATCAACTCCAAATAGACTAGCAATACAAAAGCCAAACTGTAAAACTTCTAGGGAGGGGGCTGGCAGTGGAGCTGAGCCACGGAGCACAGTCTTAGCCCTGGGTTTCATCCCCAGCATGTGGAGTCCCAACCTTCCTTCCTATAGGAAGGTGGAATGCCCCCCAGCCCTCAATATGGACTTGCTCCCACAGGGAGGTCCCCGCCTGGCTTCCACACCCTCTCCTCTGCCCCAAGCCCTCACCTCCCCCCATATGCTGTTAGCACACGTGTCCCATCTTGTGTGTGCCCAACACACTCAGGCCTGACTCGGCTCAACCCATGGTTGACATCCCAAAGAAAAGGTCCTGCAACCTCTGACCCCTGGGCAGGAGGAATGGAGCCTGGAGTTGATCAGGGACTCTTGGCTCTGTGATTCTGGGAATTCACCCAGTTGCTCTGGGCTTTGCTCTGCTCAGGAGAGACAGGTCCTCTGTGTTGTGCCCGTTAGGGAGACACACACACAGAGTTTCGCAGGAGGCATATGTACCCTTTCTCCTGAGCACTCAGAGTAGTCCATGGTTATAGCCCTGATGATTGGTTCAGGTGTGGACATGTGACCCAGGCCCGGCCAATGAGGTTCTGACCTGAGACTTTGTGAAATGGGAGGAATCAAACTTGCCTCAGTGGGAGCAGGGCCAGCCACAGGTGTGGAGAGGGACAGCCCCTGCTGCCATCAGTGGAGCCCCTGGGTACAACTGTGCATGACATGGACAGAATTCTCTGGACAAAAAAAAAAAAAAGCAAGGGCTTTCCTTGCCTTTGGAGTTTCCCCAAATCTTGACTCTCACCAGGAAAGGACAATAACAGTCTGGGTCTTGACGGGGGTATTGCCCCCACATCTGTGAGTGCAGCTTTCACAGCCTCTGGTGCAAAGCCAGGGTTGGCGGTGAAGGAAGTAGGAATCACAAAGAGCGCAGCATCTTTCTGGGAAGACCTGGGGGCTGGGAGGGGTGCAGTTCACCTGACAAAAATTTACCATTTGCCAGGCACCGTAGTGCATACTTGTAATCCCAGATACTTGGAGGCTGAGGCAGGAGGATCACAAGTTTGAGGCAGCCTCAGAAATTTAGCAAGACCCTGTTTCAGAACTCCCCCCAAAAAATGAACAATTCAATAGAATTTAACACATTCATAATGTTATAAAACCACCACCTCTGTCTAGTCTCAAAATGTTTTTATCACCTCAGAAGGACCTGCACCTGTTAGTGGTCACTCCTGGCTCTCCTTGTCCCCAGTCCCTGGCCACCACCCACCTGTTTTCTCTCCCTGTGGAGTTGTCCCTCCTAGACACTCTTGCAAGTGTGGCCACTCATGACTGGCTTCTTTCCCTCCCTGCTGTGGCCTGTGCCCATGGCCTGCATCCATGGCGCCATTCCTTTACAGCTGAGGAAAACCCACTCTGGATAAACTGCATTGTATCCGTCCTCCATCCATAGAGGACTTCCCAGTGTCCCCACCTCTGAACTACGGTGGATAGTGAGGTGTCTTGGTGGCGGGGAGCCGCAGAGGACTGGAGGAGGGACCGTGAGTCAGAAGCACTGGAAAGGGGAATTTGGAAACCAGAACTAGGCTGCGGCTGCCGTCCCCAAATCCCTGGGGTTTCACCGCCATGCCACGTCTAGGACCCGTCACTTCCCTTCGCGGTCTCTACTTCCCCATGCCAGGCCACCGTCATCTCTTGCCAGTGGGCAGCAGTAATGTCCTTTTGGATCTCCCTTCTGCCACTTGGACACCCCTCTTCTCACACCCCAGTGGGACTCACCACTCCATGGCCCTCTCCCACCGAGGCCTCTCCCTGGGCCCTGTGGCCTCAGTAGCAAATCCAGACTCCTGGCCATGGGCAGCAAGGTCCTGCCTGTCCAGGGCCCTGCCCCACAGGCCTGCCCTGCAGTTTGCACTCATTTTCCACCCGTCTTCTCTCCCTTCCCAGAATGCACCCCGCTGCAGACCCTTCCCATGTCTTTGCGGGAAGATTTCTTCCCACATCCTCCCTTACCTGACACTCCTCATCCTTGAAGGCCTGGCCCAGCCACTGCCCTTTCTGTGAAAGCATAAGACCCGCTAACCCTCTTCCACACTGAGCTGAGTGCCTGCCTTCCCTCAAATCAGTCATTCTTCCAACTGGTATTTAATAAGCACTACTTTGTCTAAGACACCAGAGAAACAAGTTAAAAAGATGATTACATGCATGTAAAAGTGGAAGCAGACCAAATGTCCCTCAAGGGATGAATGGGTAGACAATGGGCGCATTGGTGCTGTAGAATATTATTCAGCCAAGAACAAGAACACAGTTCTGATTCATGGTACATACGATGGGGAGGAATCTCTAAAACCTGGTGCCAGGTGAAAGAAACCAGCCACGGGAGACACATAGTGTATGATTCCATTTGTGGGAACTGTCCAGAACAGATAAAAATCCACACAGATGGATTTTATTTTGCCGGCAGCTGGGAGAAAGGGGCGCAGGAACAGCTGCTACTTTGGAGCAATGGAAAGTTTTGGAACTAGACAGAGATGGTGGCTCCACAGCCCTGTGAATACACCGAAATGTTCACTTCAAAATAGGTAATTGTGGGGCTGGGGCTAGGGCTCAGTGGTAGAGCGCTCACCTTGCAAATGTGAGGCCCTGGGTTTGATCCTCAGCACCACATAAAAATTAATTAATTAAAGCTATTATATATATCTACATTTTAAAAAATAGTTAATTGTATATTTTGGGAATGTTGCCTCCATAAGTTACTTAAAACAAACAAACAAACAAAAAAAGGCCAGTCTCCTGCCCTCTTTGAATGGAGGGAGAAAATAAGTCAACATCATTCACATAGTACATGAGATGAAGTTAGGAGCCCAAAAGAAAAATAAAACCGAGCAAGAGAATATGGGCCGTTCATGAAAAGTGAAGGGGTACAGGGCAGCCATTTTACAGGGAGGAGCCAGGGAAACGGGCTTTTAGGTAAAGACCTGAAAGACAGCTGAAGGGAAAAGCATTCCTGTCAGAGGGAACAGAAAATGCAAAAGCTCAGAGGTTGAAAGCACATCCAGGAGGCCTATGTAGCTGGAACAGAGAGGAGGGGAGAGCAGAGAGATCAGGGAGGCCTGTGAGCTATTCTCAGGAGGTCGGGGGAGAGTAAGGACCCCTCAAATGAGATGAGACGGTGCAGCCAGTAAAAGTAGGGGGAGACAGTGATTCAGCTGGTGTCAGAGTTTGGTGATGCTGTGCCCCTCCCTGTGGGCAGGTCCACCCCCACCCCCCTGCAGGCAGGGGCTCTGGTCTGCCTTGCGCCCTGCTCTGTGGGTGTCACCATGCCCAGCACCAGGTAGCTGCTCAGGGACTGCGACACCTGAGGCTGACTTTGTGTCAGATC